TCCCATTGGGAATAAGCTAATACCGAAGGTCTCATGGTAAGAGCTGGACCCAGGACCGATTTACTTTTTTGTTTTGATGTCCCCAGAAGCCAAAAACACCATCCTTTCAAATTTTTATATACGTGTGTGTGTGTGCGTTAGCACGAGAACTCGATTGTAAACGAGTTTCGCAAACCAGCTTGACAATGGGAACGGGAATTTGTGAGGTGAAAATTTGGTTTTCTAATTGTTTTATCCCAAAACATAAAATCTCCTAATTACTCCCTAAACCATCTTGAAGAATCTTAAAAGAAGAAATGATTTAATAGGTATATTAAAGCGTTTTTGTATGTTTATTTCCGTACAACTCATAATATTCCAAAATTGTAAATTTAAAATAACCATCTTATTCCGGGGATGCGGAATACTATCCCCCGGAAAACTACCCCCCCAGGTGAAACGTGACGTCACAAAATCTGCTAACTAACCAACATGGAAGCCGACTGGAATACTACCCCCCCTAGACAAATCATGCTATGTAATTTTAATTTTAATTCGACTAATTCCGTTGGATAATAGAAAATGCATGTGGTGAATATAAAACATTTTTGATTTTCGAAATGTTACAGCAAGTTTGGTTGGTTAGGTTAGGTTAGATTAGAACTGCTTGACAACTAAATTTGAGTGTCCGTGACTGGAAAACTGCCCCGCCCGGTCTCTGACGTCAATATGACGTAGGAACCTGCTTGGGGGGGTAGTCTTCCGGCGACCCCTTATTCCGTAGGATAAGTAAACTGTCATAGTTTACCATATACCACCCACCCACCAATTTGGAGTACCAACAAAACTCCAAACTGTACTCGTCAGTACAGTACTCGTCAAACATAATGTTATTTAGATAAATGTAAGTGAAAATCTAATCAGGCAAATGGAAATTCCCTTAGTCTGCAAGTTTACTGCAGCCGGGAACCATTGGTCGTTCAACCTATTGATCACTATTTACTTATTTTTATTGCAATGATGAGGACAGCTGGAACAGGTTTCAAACCAAAGTTACTGACTTTTTTCAGGATCAAAACGACGACCATTTATGACTAAGGAGAAGGGGAAAAACTGTATAAATTTTGACTGTCAAATTTAAACCATCCCACTCCATTATGGTGAAAGTTTAATTGAGACCTTAATTTACAGGCAACCCTCAGATTTATATATGCATACATATTTAAATGAATGTGTGATATTAATCAATCTTACCTAATACAGTGACATGTCCTTTAGTCAATTCTTTTTAGTGGTCCATCAAAGAACATGACACTTAACTGTAATATTAAAATATTCAGTAATTTATTAATCAGATTTTGGAATCAATTTAATAACAATGCCATTGACGGGATCAATATAATTTTACAAAGTCAATTTATACCAAGATAAAAGTTTGATTCTAAAATGTTTCATAACAATTAACGCTCAAAATCCGTTATGTGCCCAAAACTTTATATTTTCCAATTACACTTCTATGACTTATTGAAACCTTTTACAGGTTATAAATAATGAAAAATGCAATACTTAGAAAAGGTTTTTGATCACACACTATATAAATTTGGAGAAAACACTCTAAGTAGTAGAATAACTACTGCAAATTTTAAGCTGTCCGAGAAGTATAGTTGGCTAGCTTGATGACACTGTTCTAACCTTACCTAACCCAACCAAACTTCTCGAACAGCTTAAAATTCGTTATTTGAGTAACTGAACCAAAATTAATCGTTATCTCATTGTTGTGAAAAGTCAACAGTGATTCATTACCCCGGGCCGCTGCAGGCGACGCTACAGAGAATCGTTATCTCTCCCAGAAAGATAATATAAGAACGACAACAATACCGTCGGAAATACCTGGAAATTATTCCATTCTACTAAACAAAGTACCATGTCATTGAAAAACTACGTTTTGTACACTCTAATGTTAATACGAACAAGTTTTGGACTTGTGGGCATGTAACAGATTTTGACCTAATTAACAAGTAGGTTCTAGAATGTTTTAAAAATCAATGTTTAAACCTGCTATTTATATAAATGTCGTCACTATATGATGGGGATATGATAATTAATTGCTGGTTCACATTTAGTTGGCATGATATTTATTAAAATTTTTAACGATTTGCTTGTTTAAAACGAAAACTTAAAATAAGAGGTCAATCTTTAGTACAATCCAGTAGTGGTGTTTTTTTGCTGGTTTTGAACTCTTTAAGTGGAAAAATAGATAGAATCTCTAAAAGTTATAATATAGCTATAGATTGTACTGGTGACAATTATTGCTGGTATTTCTCTCAGTTTCCACAGTTGTTATCGTAACAGTAATGTTATTTCAATAATACTTTAGTTAACAGAAGGATTAATTTAAAAAAAATTTGCGATTCATTAGTTCAAACTAAAAATGCATGGGTTGCAATACTGCCCTTGAACATTTATTTGTCCAAACCACCAACTAAGTGTGAAACGACAGTAGGTTTTGCCTTAGTGTTATAACTGTAACATAACGATGTTGTAAATAGTAGTGTATATCTTAACGACATCCCAATACAATGTGTGTGAACGTTTTTGTTTTATTAAGACTGTACTAAACACTATCACTAAATGTTGAGGAGCACTATTAACTTTGGATACTGCAAGTAGAGAACACTATTATATAATCTGAAGTGTTTTGTGTTCAGTGGTGTTATTGCTTGTTGATGTTGACCAAATTTGATCAAATGATCAAATTTGGTCAACATCTAGACATTTTTACTTGGATAAAAGAGAGGAAAAGCAGGATACAAAAATATATTGTAGTGATCCAAAATTACAAAAAAAAAGACATCAACACACCAAAGCATCACTGAGCTCGGACATTATGGAAATTATCTTCCATAAGTATTTAAGGAAGTGGGATTAACCTATGGTAGCTCCAATCAAACAGGTTTTTAGGGACCAAAGAAATAAAGGAAAACTCTTTTACTTCTTAATTGGCAATCAGGAATTTGTTTGGGTAAAGTGAATTCTTTCCAAAACCAGGTACAATAGAGGAGTTTTAAACCTTATACTTAATAATATTTTCAATTCATATAACATTATAAGAAACAAGAAGGAGGGTTTCCACGGGCAAATTAGACTGTCAATCTGGTCTTGGGAGATGAGAGATGTTGTTTGACTGGCAAAAATATTGGCCAACATTTGAACTTAGGCCCAAGTTAAAACCATGTTATAGGGAGTTATAGGCAGCATTTAACTCATTGAATTGAATCTTGCTCCAAAGATGGATTTTCTCATCCAGTCTTTGTCAGTTTCAACTACACGATTATATTCCAAAGACAACATTATTAGCATCTTAGTCAACACTATTTTCAATTTTAAACTATTTTTATGGAAATCAGAAAACATAAACCCACTCACATTATCACTATTGCTTTACATAGTCTAGTTGTAATCTGTCGTAGTGCTTTTACAAAATCGTTAAAAATAATTACTAACCTTTTATTACTTTTAAGATATAGGTAACAAGAGTAGCAGCAAAGATAACGTCATTTTACATTTCAGGGACTAAGATCCCATCTGATACTGCCGCTTGCATTTATCGCAAACGTTCACACACATAGTATTTACGCTGAACTTAACCACGGCTTTGCTACCATTTAGGGTTGGGAGAGGTGCTAATCTAACGAATAGTCAAGTAGGCCTATTGTTATTTTTGAGGTACTTATTCTAAATGTGCTTTAAACAACTGTAAGCCCTTATATTATTTATGATGGTTTTTTAAAATTCAATTATGGTTTTTGCTTTGCGAATTGTTCAATGATAAGAATTTCAATGTATTTCTCTAAAACTAAGGAGTAGGTTAAATTATCAATTAATAGCTGCGTAAAATTATTTATAAAAACCGTTACTAAGCTTTGGACTAAATAATGCAAACAATGCACTGTTAGAATAGTAATCCCAGTCGTATTCAAAAGAGATTGAGGAATTCAGACCACAAAAACTATTATCTATTTAAAATTAAACACTCTAAAAATAAATTGGTGTAAGTTTCCTTGATGTTAATAAAAGCAAAACTCCAATAACGATGATTAGTTTACTTTTGAGTCGACAGACATAGTATATCTTAATAAAATAGCCTACCACATTTTTTTGAAGAGCCAAGCAATGTACTTGAAGTCTTTTCCATGTACATAGTGCACTCTCCCATCCCCTTGTATCATAGTTTCTATTATGTTTGTACGTGCTAATGAATGACTTTGAATGAATGTGTTTCAATGTTGTAACTGCGACTTTCATTTATTACCTACAAAAAGTATGACATAATTTTTTGTATTAAAATTTTAATGAAAATAATAAAAATGTGTTTTAAAATTGTTGCGGGTATTTCTTTATCCTTTATAATTTTATTATATAATTGTGGTTCTTATTTAGTGGGGAGAAAAAAGTTTTTTAGAATAATGGCTAAAAACTCCATCTGTAACTACTGCTGAAAATAGGTGTTTACCAGACGAGTGTGGTCATTCCCAAGCGAGACGAAGGCGAGTGCGGGAATACCATACGGATCCGCTAAACACATTTTGGAAAGTGATGTACGACAGTTTATGCCATACTACTCTAAGCTAACTTAACAATACAAAAATTGTACAAATCCATAAATATTCCTACTTAAAGGGCTAACAATCAATACTCATAACCTCCATTGAGTGCACTCATTGCCAAACTAGAAACTACTTATCATCTGGTGTCCGGTAAAAACTCGCGTAATGACAGCCTATTGATTAAGCTGGCGGCAAAAAGCTGTTTTATGGACTGAATCCTTTTGTGGGAATTTCGTTCAAACAGTGTAGTGGGACGTAAAAATAATTCTTCATCCCTTTATATTTGTTTTTAGCAGCAGACAGTATATAAAATGTTTGTTAAAGTATAGAATCTAGAGCAAACAGAAAAATCTTAACTCCTTAAACAGATATTACTAAAAATTACAAACTGGTAAATAAACAATGTAGAAAATTTTACGAAATTCACTTTAATTAATTTGGATTTACAATATCATAATTCTATTTTCATCTATAAAAAAATATTAACATACTAAAATGTAGACAGTAATCTCTTACGGCTCCACAGCCAAACAATATAACCTTCAACATCTTTTTTTTTACATTACAAACTGTAAAAGAATATTTTAAATGAGCACCATGAATAATATGATATTCTAACATTTAAAATGGTGGTTTGTGAAAAGTTTCATTATAATATAGCTATAAAAATATATCTTATCTACAATTTGAAGACTAAAAAGAGATTCTAAATACATCAAACTTTCTTGGCACTAAAGAAGTTTCTACATGCACATTTCTTGGAAGACAAAGTGGTAAGCCGGTTCATACGAAACCAGTTGTGGACGGAGTTTGAACTGATTCTTGAAAATCAGTGATCTGCATTAAGCCGTTCTGAAACAAGAAGATAATGTAAAGGTGAAAAGTTATAAAACAGTACGAAATGTGTAACTTTGTCAACCTTAACTTTTGTCTAGCAGCACGGATAAATTTTACCTTGGTTTTCCATGCCGCTCAGATAATTAGAAGGAAATGTTTGAAATAACAACAGCATTGACAATACTGGCACTACAATACCAGAAACAAAACCAACATTGCTTTAAACCGCCACAGATTAGAACTTTACAGTAAAAAACAAAGTTATTCTAGAGTAACTTAGAGTAAATCGGTCCCGGGCCTAGGTCTTACCGTGCCACCTACGGTAATAACTACTTCCCTACAGGGAAATTTGTTAAAAATCAGTAACTTTTCAGTTTAATAACTCATGTCCCAGTAAAATTAGTGACTTCAAAGAGCAGAAAACATACATGTTCCAATTGTTAAGAATTGACACAGACAATAGGATTTTTTACAAAATAAGTATATTTTTCTACAAGATGTTCTTCTACTAAAAATAAACACATATGAAACAGCCTTCTTCTGAGGTTGGAAAAAGAAAAGGTTTCTTCTACTTACATTAGCACTGTGTATATCAATGAAACACTTATTCAAAAATAACCTGTAGTTATGACATCAGACACATACTTTAAATAACATACGATTGAAACCGGTACTCAAGATTTAATTTACGGAGGATGCCCTTCCTCCTAACAAGTAAAAAAGCCTTAAAACGTCCTGGCCAAAAAACAGTAGTTCCCCAAAACATCAGGGTGTACCCATCACCCTGGGACCGCCACTGACTGGTACCATACACCTACATATTGATTGACTTACGTCTATGCAGGCTCATGTACTGCCGTATTAACCGAGTGATCTCATGAGCCTGGTCCGTCTGCAGCCGAGCTACTCTCTGTTGGAACAGGTTGCCACACTTGAGCTCCAAGTAGAGAGTTCCTGCCTCGGCTCGCACCTTGCGTGTAGAGATCACCTCCGAGTAGGACACACTGGACACCGTCTCCTGTACATCAGTCAATCAAGGATAGATTAAATATAGTATTGGTCACAATTCTCTCTGTTTAGCATTATTGTTATATTTGGTTGATTGTGTTAGTCGATGGCTCAGGGGGTATTGCGACAAATGGGAAACCAAAGATATTTATTTGTGTCTCTGAGCTGTAACGTATAAAGGTAACAGTTAAAGTTGACTAGCTGTACCTGCGTAGTTGATTCTTGTACTGTACTGCCTCACTCGTTTGTATTATAGGTTACACATGCCTTAGAGGCCTTTGGAAATAGGCAGGTACAGGATAATAAAAGGCCACTAAAGTATTTAAGATAAAATTATAAAATCCCCAAAATAGCCTCTCAATTTTAATTTTATTTTTAGCTGATTTATGAATTTACTTATAAAAATTAACTATTAGGTTCTAATAATAAATGAGAGTTCATTATATCACCACCAGTTTTTAAACTGTTTAGAATGTTAAATTGTTTAAAAGAACATTTTTTTTACCTAAGGTTTCATTTAGAATTTTCTGTGTGTACTCAAATGAGAGTTGGAGTTTGTATTATATTGTATAGCTTCACATCGATATTATTTAAGAGGCCGTGCCACTGCTGTTGCATATGATTGTAATTAGTGATGGGCCGATTCCAAAATTTCTCGATTCCGATTCCGATTCCGATTCTGATTCTTAAATTTAAGATTCGAATCTCGATTCCGGACTCGATTCCGATTCCAAATTCAATTATGTTTTATGAATGTGTTTAAAATTGTGAAATCAGTACAAGCTTACCAAGCATGTTATCTATATGTAGAATTTAGAATGTCACACATTCAATACACATTTACAAGGTTATTGTAAAATACTAGCCATAGAATATTATAAAATAACTTTTATATGTACTATAAAAAATCATTCATTATCATTATAAAAAATCAGCCCCTATCCAATTCTTGATTTTTAATTTATATACAAACTAACCTAACCTTATATAAACTGTTGGCAGACAATAACGGAACCTGCAAAACTACTCTGCCTATCGGCCATTAAAATACCCAGTGTTCGAAGATTTACCCGTTGATTGCAACACTAAACAAGTTTATTTACAATTTCGCGCACTTGAACATTTATAGGTAGTTAAAACCTTCCAATTCACTGTACAAAATTATATTCCCAAGCCCAAGCCCAAGTCGCTTTTAGGCTATATAAAAAGGACGCTCGCTCTAGTCTCGTTGAGTAGTGACGTTTCGGGACCGAATACGAAGTGTTTTGTTATACTTTGGTAATGAATGGTAGCTGAGCTCTGTTTAGGGATGAGCATCGATAGTAGATGTTTTCGCATCACCGATGTTTTTCTATAGATTTTCGTTGTTTTTCACATCGATGTTTTTGACCAAGTGTAATTGAGATATCGATGCTTTCCGTTACTGGAGAGTACAGAGACCAGACGAAAAATTGAAGAAAAAAATCTATGTCTTAGTCCCAAAAACATCGATGTTTTCACAACGATGTTATCGGTTACTGATAACATCGATGTAGCGATGCAATGATTCAGTTAGTAGCACCAATACTAGAAAAATACCGGTATGGATCATAAACATAAACAAATGACGTTGTTGGCCCGAATCCTCTACGAATAGCGTTGAACATATGTTTTGGCAGTTCAATTTAAGCAATGTGAAATAATGTGTATTTTCGGGCCAAAAATGTCATTTGTTTATGTTTATGATCCATACCGGTATTCTTCTACTTTTCTAGTATTCGTGGTTAGTAGCCTTGGTACCACTGGTTGATCTAAATCGATGCTCATCCCTTTCCTTGTATGTCTTGTGAGCTGTGACGCAATGCTTACTCGCTCCAGTCCAGTTTGCCCGAATCTCCAATTCCCATCTGTTAACTGTTTCTCATTGTAGGCTACTATCTGTATTGAGTTCGCATCTATTATTTTTGCAATACGCTCGCTCTAGTCTCGCTGAGTTAGTGACGATACGACCAGGACTTGTTGTTTGCTCAGAGTTGCAAGCAAATCATTAGCAATCTGAATTTATTTTGTTTCTTTGTTGCTTTATATGACGTTTATGGCTTATTTTAACCAATTTTATCAAAGAATCGAAGAGAGTCGGAATCGATCCCAAACCCACGGAGATTCGAATCGAATGCTCGATTCGATTCCGGCGGAATCGAGAGTATTTTGGAATCGAGAATCGGAATCGGCCCATCACTAATTGTAATAATGTAATAACAGCTGTGTGTATTTTGTTTTTGTACGTTAGGTTTTCTATTCGAAGTTCACACTAAAATGTTCTTGTCTCTTTTTACAGCATCATAAATACAACATCCTAATTATAACTTGTGCTTAGCAAAAGTAAAAAGAAACATGTTTAGAAAATTACAAAAGTTAAACTTAGGGCAACAAACATATAATCAAGAGAGCTGTATTGTGATTGTAACCTTTTAACAAAATAATACACAGTCAGAACCATCTGAAGGAGAGTAACTGGTTACTCACATGTGTGACAAGGTGTAGGAAGTGAACTCCGTGCCTGTTCAATGCCAGGATTTGTTGGTCTCCGCCGCGTTTGACGGCGAAGAAACTCGACCCAAACAGCGGCCACTTGCTGAGAATCTCTGTAACAGGAATACAAACATCAGTAACAATCGTTTAACTAGGTTTAGGGAATAAGCTAGGACCCGGGGCCCGGGACCGATTTACTTTTTTGTTTTGAGGTCCCCATAGGCCAAAAACACCATCCGTTCAAATTCATATATATATATATGTGTGTGTGTGTCCGTTAGCGCGATAACTCGAGCAAAAATGATCCGATTTTGATGAAATTTGGTATAAACGCGTAAACCTACATTTATTCGAACGAGTTTGCGAACCAGCATGCTCGGACTATGGGAACAGGGGTTTATGGGGAGTTTTATAGGGTAAAATGGGTTTTTCTCATTTTTTACCCTGAAAACATAAAATTTTGCAATTTCTTTCCAAACCATTTTGAAGAGCTCAAAAAAACAAATAATTTAGTATATTGAAGCATCGTTGCATGCCTAAGGGTTACGGAAAAAATCGCAAAATAGTGTAAATTTAAAATTACGGGAATGTTGCTGGAAGTCAACAGTCCCGGAAGATCAAATAATTTATACCTGTGCCGCTAGGTCAAAAACTACAATGTTTGCAGTGTCTGTAGATCAAAAGTCCCAGTAAGTCAAATAATACAGTCCGAGCTAAAAACGTGGTCTATGTTAAAGCAATTGACTTATTGGGAATTTGACCTAATGCAACAGCAGTTTTAATATAACGAAATACGGTAAAATACAAGTTCAGTTTCGCTGAGTCAACAGTGCCGGAAGATCAAAAGCAATAAAAGTGAACGTCGATTCAGTGTAAAGTAGACCTCCTGCAACGCTTACTACACCAACAAAACTCGCTTTTAGTTACTTCGTGTTTTGTCATAATTAGAATAGAGCTAAAATTATCATATTTGGTACATAGCTTATCTATTAATGCTTCTTGCCAACTGTTTGGTCAACACTGTAAATAGGTATAGTTTATGTAATTAAAAGCCTTTCGTCAAAATTTGTGGCATGAAATACACGCAAGGACGATCTGAAAATTTCTGGTTATTATATACGTTTGTAAAAGGAGACCCATTTAATTTTAGAACTATTTTATGAGTTATAATGTAGTCTACACATCAACTGTGTAAATGTATTACGCCTCGGAAGGGTTCAAACCTGTCCAAACTATCATATATATTATTAAAACGTAAATGGGGTTTTTTCACATTCTGAATCAACCAGTCGACGGATTTTCATTATTTTTGTGTTGAAAGAAAGATAATTTTGAGGACAAGGGAATGTCAAAGCCATAATTATAATTAAGGGTCCCAGTTTTTTAGAAATTAAGTTTTAATTTTTAAAAAGTCTAGCAGCCGACGCTAACCTTCTTAAGCTAGCTTTTAGTACAATATAATTTGCTTAACATAACAGCTGTAAACATTCAGCATTTGTGACACAAATTCAGCATTTGGAAACAAATTTAAAGACATATTTAGAGTTGACCTATTTATACTATGTGTAATGCTGACCATTGATACATTCAATTCTTAGGTATGAGGATGGCAGATTAATTAAATATGCATAGTAAAATAGTAGGATGTCCAAATGATTTTTTAAAGGAATCTTTGTTCTCATTGATTTGTTTTAGTCCCATATAATTTGTTTTAACTAACAGCTGGTTGAATGTAATATTGTTCTATATAACTACTAGCTGAACCCGGCAGACGTTGTCTTGCCTTTGACTATTTATAATCCCGCGGGCTTTGCCCCGTTTAACTTCTTAATTTTCAAGATGATCTCGTTCGCATGGCTCAATCACGTCCTGGTTGAAGTTCGTTCGCTACGCTCACTCACCTTTAGGTTGGAGCTCGTTCGCTGCGCTCACTTGCCTTCAGGTTAGCTCGTTCGCTACGCTCACTTGCCTCCAGGTTAGCTCGTTCGCTATGCTAACTCGCCTCCAGGTTGAAGTTCGTTCGCTATGCTCACTCACCTTTTGGTTGCAAATTAGCTGTTGTCATAAATGTAAAAGAAATAATAGTGCTGCACCCTGTTGGTAATCCTTGTAACTTTAATGCTATTGAACATCATAGAACAGAACCAACTTGTTTAATTGAAACAGCTGTTAAGATTCATTAATTCCATTTCTCATAAGGTTAACATGGGAAACTCCAGAGCCACTGGGGCGGAGCCGATTGGACGGATCACGAAATTGATGGTGTATAAACCTATTCCATGACATTCTACACGTATGTACCAAGTTTCGTGGCAATCGGTTCAGCGGTGTCTGAGTTTATCACTGCCAAACAAACAAATATACAAACATCCTCTTTTATACTTATAGATTAGGTTTTTGGCGAATTTCCCATATAGGGAATAAGCTATTACCGTAGTACTTATGGTAACACCTGGACCTGGGACCGATTAAATTTTTCGTTTTGAGGTCCCTAGAGGCCAAAAACACCATCCGTTCAAATTCATATATACAGGGTGATCAACTCAAGGAGGCCACCATTGGGAAATCGGAAACGGTAAGAATTAGAGAAAACTTTAAATGGGGGACATTCCTTTTTTTTTGTGGCAGTTAAAGATATGATTTTAGTTTTTTTATCATGCATTTGGATAGAATATGCAATTTAAAAACTTTTTAGCCTTGACATTTTTTCGATAAACCCACTCGATTAGGAGTACAGCCTATGGAAAAATGACTTCTGGTGTACATTTTACATCATGTAGCTCCTAAACGAGTAAGTTTAGAGCAAAATTGCAAAAAGTAAATTAGTCTTAGAATTGCATCTACATTCCTTAAAGACTAAAAAACAACAAGTTTTCCACTTTTCAAGTTTGCCGCCATTTTTTTTATAATATAATTCATATTTTTAATGAATTTTATGGTCTTTTTGGAATGTGGATGCAATTGTAAGACTTTTTTACTCTTCGCATTTTTGCTATAAACTTACTTGTTTAGGAGCTACATGATGTAAAATGTACACCGGAAGTCATTTTTCCATATGCTGTAACTCCTAAACGAGTGGGTTTATCGAAAAAATGTCAAGGATAAAAAAGTTTTTAAATTGCCTATTCTATCCGAAAACATGATAAAATATAGGGAGTTAAAATCATATTTTTAACTACCACAAAAATAAAGGAATGTCCCCCATTTTAAGTTTTCTCTAATTCTTAACGTTTCCGATATCCCAATGGTGGCCTCCTTGAGTTGATCACCCTTTAACTTATAGCCTATATTTATTTATTTATATATTTTCCCCGGGGGAAACCCCAGGACCCCCCACCTTTTTGGGGGGTATTCCATACCCCCAGGCCCCCGGTGACCCCCCCCCAAAATATATGTCTAGGATCGTCCTTGTCTTCTTAACCTATAAAACACGTGGGATACAGCCTTTCTTCACTGATCACGTAATGCATGATTTTCTATAAAGTCTTGGGAAAATAAAAGGTAAAATAGATAGAATACAGGTGTACTGTATGTGGTTTATAGTTTACACACAAATATTCATCAAACTGTGTGATATTTTGTTATTGCAAAGAACAATTTGGGAGTATCGTATTGTTTAAGTCGATGGAAAATCTCTGTTGATCCTGTTTTACAAGCAAACCAAAAAGATACAGTAGTCACCACTCTATGCGACATATTCTAACCAGAAAATTGTAATCGTATGATTCTATAAGCATTGGTAGGATTGCAAAGTACTTCACAAACATTATTTCAAGGGTAATAACAGTCACAATTTCCGCTGACTTTAAAAGAGTCAACTAAAATATTATACTAATGGACACACAACTAAATGGAACAACTAATGGAAATACTCACGATGTACATATAACAGTTCGATATAAGCATTGAGTATACACGTCAGTAGATACGTGTATACCCAATGATATAAGCAACAGTTCTTGCAATTTATTGTTTATTGTTTTTTAGAGTTGTTTCGGACTTACTCACACTCGTATAAGGTTGTCCACGTTTGTCAATGATAATGTAGACATGTTACACCCGTTGTCACGAATATGTTTACAAGTTTTCCGTCTGTTTTTGAATAGCGATACATTTTTTCACATACTTAAGAACCACCTGATTTCGTGCATTACATGTTCGTCTCAATTTTATTTGCTTTAGTAGGCATTATTTTGGTTGATGAGGACTTCAATAGGTCCTTTGCTCATGAAATATATTACTTAATTAATTTTTATTGTTTGGTAAAATGGATTAAATTATCCAGCAAACCCAAATAGAAATAGTAAATATAGTATTTCAAAAAAATCAGTAACATTTTAATAATGTAGCCTACATTATTTCCTTGAATTGCATAACAGCAATTAATTGAGCTGATCCTTATATAAATAAATCAATATGTTCTTCATAGGCATAACATGGGTTCTTTAAGAGCCACTGGGGCTGAGCCCAAGGGATTTTAAAACGTAAGGTTGGTTTGCAAATGTACGTGACACGCTCTTTCTAATAAGACATGAATGGTCAAAATCGCCTAAGAAATGCGGAAGAGTTCAACGGAAAAATTTCGTGTTGGCGTTACAGTATGGTTGAAAAGTCCTGGATTGGCTATATTTTTTTAACAATATAGATAAAGTAGTGAGACTTGGTATATCAATAATAGCCATAAATATCTACTGTCTTAAGCTATTATCACTTTTTTATCCCTTAAGGGGGGTGGCCCACAAAGACTAAGACAAAATTCTTATATAATTTTAATACTATTTTACCTGTTTTTGAAATGGCGACCATACAAATGTATGCATTTTAAGCCAAGTATGAATGGAGATGAGTGTGTGATGAGTGGGCTGTAGGCGGAAAAATAAGAACAAACTAAACTATTTATTAACATAACTTTTTTTGTGTTGAAATTTAAAGACAATGGTATCAAACTCTACACCGAATAATGCTAATTCATAATGGTTATTATATCTATGATCGATAATGTAGCCATGTTGCTTTGAAATGGCGACCATACAAATGTATGCATTTTAAGCCAAGTATGAATGGAGATGAGTGTGGGATGAGTGGAGCGATCTTGTTGTCCTGTTTGTGACTAAGGCCGACATAATCCTTAGACACAGCTGTTAATTAATAGTGCATACAGTCAATTAATAGCAGCAGAGGTCAAGTTTGGTATCAAATTAAAGGGTTTATTCATAAAAATACATTGCCGCAAACCCAAACTCAAACGATGATGATGATAAGTCGCTAAAACGTATCGTTTGAAATTTAACAGCTGAAAATAAGTGAAATAGAAAAGGTTTTGGTTAAATCCATCAAATTGTAATTGGACACTAGTAAATACTAGTGAACTTGTTGCTACCTCCCCCCTTCGGTTTCATTTATTCCTCTCAATCTGTTCAAACCTAGGAGGATTAAACATTAATGTTACCTAATTAATGTTAAATCCTCCTAGATTCAAACCTGAAACACCCAGATCGAAACTCGCCTGTCGTTATTTTACCATCGCTTTTTTTTAAATATATTTTTCAAAAAAGAAATATTATATTGATTTACTTTGGATTTTAAAAATGTTAACGTTTTATTTTGTTAAAGATTTATGGCGATACGTAAATATTGTGGTGTAGTAAAGTATATTATATTGTAGTTAAGTGTTAAATTTTGAAATTTTAGGGTGAATCGAGATGAATCTTTGTTTATAACATGCGTCTCTCCTACCTTAACATACATACCAAGTTTCATAAACATCGGTTGGAAAAGTGCAAAGATAAATATTTGTATGTAAAAAATACAAAATGGTGGATATCTGGTTAACGAAATGATTTTGTTAATAAAGAAAGATGTTTTATAAATAATATGAATGTACTGGTGATCTGTATATTCATCTTTTTCTTGTCCTTAAAAAGTCCACTCAGCAGTCGCATCGTACGATGTAGTTCTTTCCATGCGTTGCGAAATGCTAAATTTGCCGTCCTATCAACCCAAGTTATCTACTGAACCACTGATTGTAAAAAATTCAAAAAAATATATTTTACGCATCACACTTTTGGCTACAACTTTGCCACAGACAAAACCTCTCTAACCCAAAAACAAACAAAAATCTCGCATGCTAACTTTTTCATGTTAGAAATCACGATTTAAAACTATTTCACCATACAAATCAATTTTTATTAATTAGATCGGTAAATAGTTTAAAGTTCCAACAAAATAATCATCGAGTAGGACTAACCAAGAAGCTCTGTGCCAAATTTCAAAATTTTAGCACAACTTTAAGTACACCAAAACACGAAGTTATTGAAGTCATGCGTCGAGAGGACTATCGTTGTTTTTAACAGATTATAATTTTGACCTTCCGGCACTGTTGACTCAGCGAAACTGAACTTATATTTTATCTTATTTCGTTATATTAAAACTGCTGTTGCATTAGGTCAAATTCCCAATAAGTCAATTGCTTTACCATAGACTACGTTTTTAGCCCGGACTGTACTATTTGACTTACTGGGACTTTTGATCTACAGACACTGCAAACATTGTAGTTTTTGACCTAGCGGCACAGGTATAAATTATTTGACCTTCCGGGACTGTTGACTTTCTGCAACGCGTCCAAAATTACCATGTTATTCTTATGGAGAATAAATACACTATTGTAGCTTGCTTGTCTATAGACATATTTTAATGAAATTTCGTTTACTCTGTTAATATTTCAATAAAAACCCCCTATTTTCTTCCCTGTAGCAGCAAACCTAAGTACTCATTAATATTAATAATATTTAAATAGGAAATAAATCTGACAATTTTAAGGGAATAATTTAGTGGAATTCCAGCCGTGTAGATGAAAATTGGCTTAGTCTGTAGGTTTGCTGCGGCGAGGGTATTTATTGTTTGATAGACTTGTATTAACAAGGCATTAGAGTTGGAGATATCCAGGATGTCCCAACGGTTAAGGTATACTCAATCAAATTCCATTCAACTTAAACCTACCAGAAAGAAAATATGTAGACAATCCAATCCGACACCACAACATTGAGCCGTTTTTAAAATAGCTATGCTGATAAAATAGAAAATAGTTAACAAAAGCAATCACAAATAGGTGTATCTTACCCAGCAGTTGAGCCTTGGCCTGTATGCTGTGCAGTCCCTGTACTCCGGGCCAGTGAGACTGTACCAGCTGGACCCACTGGGTGGGTTTGATGTCTCGCTGGGTCAGAGCGGGTTTGGGCAGCAGGAACTTTGTCTCTTTCATGGCCGGCGGATGGGTCATGTCAGCAGCTCGGTGTAACAAAGCTGCCAACTTGGCCACTTCATACTGCCAACACGATAAAACATTAGAACTATCTTTTTTGTGTGTTTAACGCCAATGGCATTTTTTTCCAATCCAACATTAGCTATTTAGTTAGAGAGTACAGTAGAACTAAGGGAGAAGTACGGCCCACCGCGGCCGGCATAACCCTCAAGAGCGTCGAGTGATCACCGAAACGACCCTGCAACAACTTGCCCTGAGCGGGCGAAAGACACCATCTGACCCCTTGGGAGCTGACTCATGCGAGAGAGCGTGAATCTCCCCTTTCGGAATTTAAGGTCTTTTCCGTTTACCCCTGAATGGTTTCATCATCAATTGTCTCTAGGTAAATGATATTGTGTGAGTGTTTAGGGCAATTTTCGTAGAATGTATGGGCCAAGTCTCAGGCAATTCAAAATGATAATTGATTTGTACCTACATAATTTGTTGTATGTTTTTTTCTATCTTTGTTTTTTTTTTTACCTTTAATTGAACCAAAAGCAGAACACATACGTGCATGCTATTTTTGATTTATTTTTTGTATTTCATCTGTTCATTTTTCATTTTTGTTAATCAACAAAATTTCCTATTTCTCTTAAGTTTATTTAATGTTACAATAAATTTAAGTTTCTTTTTTAAATAAAAATCTTATTTTTTGCTGTGTAGATGATGGACTCGATCACTAACCACAGGCACTAGCCCATTTGAGGATCCATATCAATCTCTGAGCTTGTATTTATTTGTACGAGAGGTCGTCCAGTGGTCGAAACTCGACCAAAAATATGTAATGTACTCACTTCTCTATTTTCACCCCACACTGTAAATAAAACATGTGATTGGAGTTTCTTCCATTTGTTTTGATTTTCTGTTTATATTTCGTTGTTATTTCGTCACCAGCATGGCAACGCATAAAATCCATGTTAATTTTTTCAAATTTTCAAACTCATTTTTTGTGCTTATCTTTGAGCCTATTTAAATTTATAAAGGGATTCTGCACACCTACAGGAAAATTGCTTTCTAATGGTATGCGCAAATTTACCCCACGATGCACACAAGCTGAGAAAAAAGGTTTTAAAGAAACATGCTTGCCTATTAATATATAGATAGATTGACTTTGTTATTAAAATAAAGCATGTATAATTTTTTTATTCATTTTAATTTTAATTGTTTAATTAATTCATTCATTTATATGGTATCTGGGTAGAGAACTGACCTTGCTTAGGATTAAACCGGCAACCTTTTGATTCAAGGGTTCTAGTATTATAACACTGAGCTCTTTACAAGGTCATAGAAAAAAACCTTTAGGTCACGTGCTGTTTTTTCCTAATTGGTGTGTGTTTCTTATTTCCTAATAAACTCACCACAACATCTTGAGGAAGTTGTTCGTTAGGTAAAACTAACAGAAGGCCTTCGAGATAGTCCGGAGCAATCTGGTTGAACAGCACCTGTACGTACAGCTGACAGTCCAGACGCAGCGGGAAATGCCACACAGAACGGCAGAATATAAGGTAGAACACCTGTGAAAGGAAGATATGAGTATAAAATTTATTTGGAATTTTATTAAGGAGTTATGCAATTTAATAAATCTTTCCCCAACAAATTCTATTCTAATGTTTAAAACGGTTTACAATACCTGCAGTAATCCTTGGTTGTTGTAGTGGTAACTAGTTTTGGTTTATAATCTTAATCATCATCAGGTCTACAACGTATAAAGTAGGTATCGTACAACGTATTGTTTGAAGGTCGTCAACAATTTAATCTAATGATCGCTTGTGCTATGTCACAGAAACTGTATGGAACCAGTCATGCAACTTTCCTCAAAATACTTCTCACTTGTAATGGTAGAGAGAGAATATCTAATAAATGTCACCTTCCACAATACAGAAGAGCTGCAATCTCTCATGATCAATGATCAATTCACATATTTCATTCACCTGTTGGTTCTTGCACAGTTCCGTGGTGACGTCCAGTATGTACTCCTCCCTGGCTAGTGGCATAGTGAACGCATCACCTTCCACAATACAGAAGAGAGAATTTCAATGATCAATACACATATTTCATTTACCTGTTGGTTCTTGTACAGTTCCGTGGTGACGTCCAGTATGTACTCCTCCCTGGCTAGTGGCATAGTGAACGCATCACCTTCCACAATACAGAAGAGAGAATTTCAATGATCAATACACATATTTCATTCACCTGTTGGTTCTTGTACAGTTCCGTGGTGACGTCCAGTATGTACTCCTCCCTCGCTAGTGGCATAGTGAACGCATCACCTTCCACAATACAGTAGAGAGAGAATTCCTCCATCTCCAGAGGATCATGGACATTGATGAGCGAACACATCTCCTGGATAACATCTTGCACCACCTGTGGACCGATGCATCATGGGAGATTAAACAGAAGATTGTACAAAAGATGTTTTCAGGGATGCAAACTTGAAACACTAAATAGGAGATGTAGCTTCTTCCCTAAAGTGAGATTGGAAGTAAGCGAAGAGGGTTTTCTTATTTTGGGCCAAACTATTACAGAAGAACCTCGCTAATTCGAATTTCAGAGGAAAGACCATATATTTCGAACCATGGGAAGTTTGAAATATATAGAGTTTGATTTATAGAGGTCAGAATAAATACAATTCGAATTATGGAGGTCCCAGTTTTAAGTGGAGAGAGTTTGAGAGAACGGAGACTAATGAACTTGTCGTGGGAACATCAATAAGAGCGTCAGTTCATGTTTGAACAGGCGTATTTTTTGTCCTGAATTCAAATTACAGAGGCTTACAATAACACAGTTTGAACTGTAGAGGTTAACTTCGAATTTTTGAGGCAACAGTTTGAATTACAGCAACAAAATTCGAATTGTAGAGGCTCGAGTATGTGCAAATTCAAATTTTAGAGGCGGTATTAAGCGTAAAAATCACTTTGAATTATCGCATTATCGGTAATATTATTTTTAGAATTATAGAGGTTTTCTGAGGGGACAGACAAACATTTCTAATTATAGAGGTTTTCAAATTATGGAGATTAGAATTAGCGAGGTTCTACTGTATTATGACTTTCTCAGTCACTTTAAGGTGGGTGGTTATCTGGCTCTACAGAGGATAGAGTATAGGGAGTCCCGCGTTATACCTGTAGATGCTGTCTACACAATCCCTGCATTACACGTACCCACAAAAATCTGGAAATATTATAGCTGATGGGGGGAGAGCTGATCAAAATATGTTCCTTGCCACCTCTCAGCCGGTACAGTCCAGTTTGCCTTCGGCATTCTCACAATATTTTTATAGCACATAATGAATATTTTTCCTTTTTTTATAGCTGTGTATATTCATAACCATGTATATTGGTACCGCATATAAACCAGACTCCCTCTACCGTGATATTTTATGCTATTTCAGTATAGTATGAACAGTGAACACGGTATCAGGTAGGCTTATGCTAGACTTTGCCACTCCTGACTGTACTCAGAATATGCTTATCACAGACATCTGCAGTTGATTGTAATTTTTAAAATTTTAGCCAGGGTATAGGCTGGGATGAATTTTTTTTTGTGCAAAAATCCTACAAACTGTCAGACAACTGTAACAAAAATATTATTCTTTAAGCATTTAAAAATTTCCAATAATATAACATGTTTCAATATTATACATCTTAAATTTTATTTGTAGCCAATTTGCTATAGCCTGCCAAAATAATGTAGCATTTTTAATATGTGTATAGCAAAATTCTAAAAATGCTACTGCAGATTAAAACCTGATTTTAGCACCCTGCACTTCATTCATTTGTTGATTTTTTCATATGCTTTTTGGTCTTATCCGACCTTCTGCCCCTGCCATGGTCGGCTTAGGTCTACTCACCGTTGTACTCTTGGTGTTGATGACTGTCTCAGAGCCGCCTGGTAGTCTGTACAGTTGTCTCTTGCTATTACGTCCGGCACTCACAGCTGTTACCTCTTCTACACTCGGGACATTCTTACGTCCTCCGTATCGCAGCGTCTTGCGCAGGTTTTGTAGACAGACGTTAGCGGTTCCTGTGCAAAAACGTCAGGTAAAACGATCATGAATTAGTTATCGCTAATAAGAATGGATGTTGACTGTTACTCTAAAAAAGTGTTGCTGGTGGAAATTAATGTTGACACTTTTTTGTGAGTGGGCAAATTAAACTACAATATAGTTGAAATAAAAATCAAACCTCAGCAATACACATTGGCCCAGACTATTTGTTGTAACTGTACCTAGACAAAAGAATTCTAAACAACCCTATTTCCTGAAAAGATTTGACTTTTTCTTTATCTTCACAGGTGAATCTTCAGTTTGAAATAAGTAGTCTGGTTGTAGTATCATCAAAAACAAAAGTCATTGGGATTGACACTATATGAACTTGTGACTTCAGAATTGAACAATCAACACACAATCCACTTTTATATATTACATAATGGTAAAAAATTACAGTTTGAATACAAGGTTAAACTATAATGTTGATTGATTCTTTTCAACTAACCATGGAAAGCTCTGCGTTTGTCGTAGGCGGCTGTCTCCAGGTATTTGAGCAGGTAAGGTCGCAAAGTTTCCGAACATGTAAAGTATGCAGCAACAATACTTAACAACCTCCACCCTCTTTGGCAACTCTCGCTCTTGTTGTTTGTCGTCTGCTTCATCAGCTGGCAGTAGACTTCATCTCTCAGCTGTTCATGTTTGTGACAGTGCTGCCGACATATATTCACCGTTATTAAATTTCTCAGGTGTATTAGATAAAATTCCTTGAGTTTATGTACTAATTTTACAACAGGATCAGATTGTAGATCTTGACTCACCATCAGTATCGTGTAGACGCACTTGACCTCCGTGAGGTCAGGTGTGGTGGGGAGGTCACCCATGTATCTCATGGCACACTGGAAACACTCCACGGCCAGCTGATCCAGAGCAGGGGGCAACTTCAGCAGCGACTCTGAGATAGGCGCTGGCGAGTACTTTACTAGGTCTACCTGCGAACACAAAAGAGGTGATGACATGTTGTGTTAGGGAATAATAGTGTCACATATGGGACCAACATGTAAAATGTGAAAGTTAAAAGTGTTCGTTAAAATCTCAATTTTGTTAAAAAAATGTCAATGGTGTGGATAAACAAAAAATGCACAAGAGATGTTAAAAATGTAATGTTACTTAAAGCTTTATTTATGTTATCCAACGTTAAATGGAAGTAATACTGTAAAATAATGTTTTATCACTGTACTATGGGTTTAAAATTATACCCTTTATCTATAGAGGGCTCAAATCTTCTAGTTCTACTGATTTCTTGGATAAGACTTGTATAGTTGTTTACTAGTTTTAATTTTTTTCCCATATTATATTACATTTAAACTGCCCATTTCGTTCATGCTTTCAGAATGACCAAGACGTTCAAAATACAGTATTCAATAACAGCTTGTGTAATTAATTACAATTATAACTTTTTTAATAGCTAACATTGTGATATGGTTTAAAAATTAACGTAGGAATATTCGCTAGAAACAATCTACTTCAATCCCTACCTGTTCTTTCCATGTCCAGTCACCCTTTTTATGACCTTGAACGACCTTCAGAGACCCACTAATGTTTCCGTCAGGAGTCTTTAACATTTCAAACCTGCAAAATCACAGGCAATAATACAAAAATCCTTCAAAATATGCAAATAAGCAAAAAATATGGCAATAAGCAAATAATAAGCAACAATAATTATACAATTAGACAATTGATAATTAGTTTTTCGAGCTCCAATCTTCCAGCTCTGCCAATAATCTTTTAAATTTAAATATTAATCAACCTACCAATTGATTATTGTGTCTCACTAACAAACAAATTTCACTTTTATGTGAAAAACATCAAATTACCTAGAGTATTTATTTACTAAAGTAACCTTCCAATTGATAGAGACTAAGGATAATCCAAAGTCTAGAAAATACTTACTTTTCAGGACTCTGGCGGAAGTGATGCATTGCAAATTGTAGCAACGAGTGTTTTCCGTCGTCTGCCATCTGTATATAAAATTTAAAATAATTATTGCTTTAAGTAAAACTAACAAAATTTTAACAATAATTAATTAACATAATAAATACAGAATTCAAGCAAGATGAATACTTTAGACCGAAATGGCGACCATATAATAGGTATTTTAAGCCAAGTATGAATGAAGAGTGTAGGATGAGTGGCGCGATCTTGTAGTCTTGTTACTGACTAAGGCAGACATGTTTCTTAGACAGGACTGTTAATTAATGTCCCGTACAGCCAATGACAACTAAGGGACCTACAGTTTGAAGTGGAATACGAACCACATTTTTGCCTTGTAATTTACAAATTGGTCTAATTATCAGGATAGTAATGCGGATAGTTGTAGTAGTACTCACTAGTGCGGACCTTAACCCACACCAGGGAGTATCTCATCCACAGATCATGCCTATAAATATGCACAATTCCTAATCAGTGGTACATCTAAAGGTAATCATAAAATATAGTTCAAGTAACTAAGTGAGAAATTCTACAACAAAACATGGTATCAATTTTTTTTTACTTTTTTCATTGACCACCGAGAACTATCAATAAATTTTTACAAAAATCAAAGTGGGCAAGCAAACCTTATGGAATATTTTCATAGCAAAAATGGACCCCAACTCCATGTTTGTGTATGTTTGTGTTGATCGTTCCAAATCATTGAGTTGGGCTCTCCCTAAAAATGATATTTCTCTTTCCACAAACATTTTGCCTTATTGGCTTCATCAAATCTTGGCTGAAAAATCAAAAGAAGCCAATATATATATTTATAAAATCTGATAAAAATGATTAAAAACTAAACTCACAGTAGGCGTGTGATCTCGTGGGCTTGGTATATCCCTTTCCCTCTCTCTCTCCCGGTCCCTTGGAGGGGTGATGAGACGCATATCAGTCTGCCAACCTGACAAAAAATTCTCCCTTAGTATATTTAACTAATATACTAATAAACTATACTAATAAACTAAAATATTAAACTATAGATATTAACATTAAAATTCCCAGATGATTCTTTGCAATGTTTATAACAGTCGTTTAACTCTTTCAATGAGGCCGTCATGTTTACTCTTGAAAATTCCACTTATCTCAATGATAAGGAATCAGTCGCCGGCGACTGACCCGCACGCAATGTGTTAAGTTACTCGTCCTCTTTCAAGAAAGTAATTGATTTTTTGCTATTAGACAACAATACTGTTGTCATTTTAGAATCTTCAGGAGAATATAAATGCAAACAACAATAGTTTTACAGAAATAATCTAAAACAACCTAAGTGCTGAATTGTAACAGAAGTTTTAATTAAAAATTGTACTCAATCTTATTATAAAAAAAAAAAAAAAATATTGTATGCCATTAGTGGGAGAAAGTACTAAATTCAGATTACAAAATTGTCTTCTGACAGATCTACCACATCTTAGACTTATAAGACTTATATTACAACATCACCTAATAACATACTTCCATTAGTGGTGATTGGCAGAATTTGAACCAAGGTCCCCAGCACAGAAGCCCTGTCCTCTAACCACTAATGGTCTAGTGGTTTTACATATTCTTAACCTTTGTTAATTTTGCTGACAAAACATTTAGTTTTGCCATACCAAGCGTTATAGTAGCCTACATGAATAAACTAGAGAAGAACAAAACTAAATAACTTACCTTTATGGTCGATAGGTTTCACTCTCTCCTCCTGAAAATAATACATTTGATTATTCAGGTTTGTAAATTGTATAGGAATAGAAATAGTTTATATATAGTTTTAAATAAAAACTGTTCAAGTTCTATTGATTTATAAGCTTTTAACTTTTTTTTTAATCTTTTAAAATAAAAATCAAAACTTATACAAAAATTACTAAAAAAATACAACTTTAAAATATTAACATACAAAATTGAAAAAAAAGCCTACTTAAAAAAATAAAAGTTATTATGAAAGGTTTATAATTAAAACAGATTAACAACAAATGAATTCAAACAAAATGCGTTCTCAGATGGCATGGGAAATTTGATTTTCTCCACACAGGCACTCCTGCTTACCACCATCCTGGCGTGGTGCATCTCGCGATTAATGGTCGTGTTGGCAGCGCCGGCTGCTTCGCGTGTGAACGCATTGATGATTGCGTCTATCTGGCGTGCGCGTGCTGTGTACAGTGGGAAACGCTCACCAGAGCTCAGCACCAGTTGCAGTGAGCCTCCGCCCTTACTGACTCCAGTCTCTGCGATCTCCTCTAGGCTGGAACATAACGAGGAATAATGAATGTAAATTATAATTTATAGAAAGTAAAACCAAATACAATAGTAGCTCAGTCATATGGACTAAAGTGGTCATAGACTGAAAGTTATTGCTGGTTCCATACAAACCCTCTAGCAAGTCTTATCACTTATCACAACATTCTTTTTGTAAGTTTTTTAAGCTGGAAAGACAGTAGAGTGAGAGAATAGATTATTTCTCTATGAACAGAACACATTTCTAAACCTTGTGTGTACTTAAATGTTTTATACTGTTATGAATTAGTTAAGACCATGTTAAATAGAATGTCTAATCTGTGGTGGATGGGTAACTGTTTTCTACAGTAGATTTGAAGACAACATTATTATCTTCTGTCTTATCACCCAGTTGCAAAGCACATGTAAGGTAAGCAGTTTTGTACTAAACTTAAGACGTACCTGATAGTATGGACGACCCGCAGATGTCCGTTGTCTTTCCTGGCGAGGCGCACTCCAAGATGGCTGATGGCAAGCATCTGTACGTCCGGGTAGTGGTTGCCTCCCTGCAAAAAAAAAAATAGAAACAGTTGAAAAACTCCCAAAAATCACAGTGAAGTTGAGATTATAGGATAACAAGTTCAACATCAAATTACATATTTGTAGAAACATTCTGACAGATATATTTTTTGAAAGGTATAAAGTTCAGCTGGTTTACACCACAAGTACACAGGCTTATAGGCACACAAAAACATTACATAACTTAACATTGATACTTAGTCCTATGGTATTACTTTTTCAGATTGCAGATTGATCAGAATGTCAATTTCTCAAGATTTATGAGATTTAAATCTAAACAATACTCTAGTAAGTTTCACCCTAGAATTTCTAGACTACAATAACACGTCAGATACATCAGTGAAATATTGAATTTATTTTATTAACAGATTTCTCTACGATCTACTCTCAGAAGAAGCCATACACTAGAAAGAAATAAAGTCACTGAATGTCAAACAATTTTATTAGCACTTATATAAATAAATAAAAAACTATAAATCCTGAAAATTGAACATTTTCTTAATAAATGTTTCCATAAATTTTCTACTCACTGTTACAGGGAAGATCCGAGAGAAGTAGGTCATCCAATGCCTGGCTGTGTCGACGACGGCTCGTTTGGTAGAAGCTTTGTGCTTATCTGATTGATAGTTGGCCGCTGTAACTCCAAACCTCTCCAACAGCTGGTAAATAAATATCACAAAATATTACATTTTATAAAATTTGGGTACAAGTCAACATTTTTATTTTCCAAATATTTAGTCATAACAGAAAGTTTAACAGATGTAATTTAAGAATATTGAATAAAAAGTAAAATCGGTCTTTCCATGAACTTCAGAGAGCCTAAACTCTGAAAACATTCAGAAAAGTTGTTAGTCAGAAAATCAATACCAAGACTATGGGGGGTATCCATGTTATTTGAAAATAACAGGAGATGGATTATGATTATCCCAAAGAAATAAATTGTGTTCAATTCACTAAGTATTCAACACATTTGGAATCACTATTTAAAACAGGACCTATTTTCAAACTTTTGAAACTATCTTTATCATAAGTCTCAAAATACTTGATCCTATCCTAAAAAAAATTACAAAACCCAACAAAGTTAAAACTATAGGACAGATCAAGTCAACCATCCGTCCAACCAATAACTGTCCTGTAGAAGAGGTTCGCATACTTACAGTAGTTATAAACAACTCGGCACTAAACTACAATGCATTCACAAACAAACCTGCAACATTTCGTTGCGCTCTTCCCGGCTTATTCTGGGCGTCTGTTTGTGAAGACAGTCGTTGATGATTTGACAGAAGATCAAGTGCAAAACAAGCGGACTTGACACCACTTCCTTGGGAGAAAACACCTGTGGGGAAGACATACTAAATAACACATCCCGTTCCATAGAACAAGATTCATTGCTTAAAATGTATAAAAGTTTGGTAGTAAATGATAGGTCTATAATTTGTTATGTTAACCAACTTTTAGAATACTACTTAGGAATGTTTGTACACATTCTTTAGACATAGAGGTAGCCAATTCATTAAATTGACAAAGAGAGACAGACAATAAAAGATGAAAATTAGAAGGAAGACAAGATTAAACTAAAAGAGAAGAGAAGTTGAAACCAGCCAAAAGATAAATATTATTGGACGTGTTATTGTGAATTTGGTCAAGGTCTATTAATGTAGAAAAGTGCATCGAAGGTAAGAAAAGTTCTCAACAACATCAATTTGACTTCTGATCTTGAACCTTACTTTCTGGTAGATAATGTTCCTGAATCAACTAACCTCTTTTCGCACGTTGAGTTTCCAAGCGACCCTGTTGTAAGTGAAGTGTGCGGCAGAGGAGGGGGGATGGAGCCTGGTAGAGGGGTGAGCCTCCGGGGGAGTTGGTACGGAGGGGAGGGGGTCAGCGACCGTGCCAAGAAACTCTGACGACTCCTCCACTGTAATAAACATCAAAGTATAAAATCACCAGATAACATGTAAAACCAGGGAATACGTTAACTGATATTTCATTTTTATTTTGACTTTTGTGTGTGTTAACACCAATGGAATTGTCTACCCTTTTCCTTTTGTAAATTAAAAGCTCAAACCCTAGAATTATTCCTATCTGACGTTGAACTTTTGTTAATAATCAATAGTACCGTTAATTGATAGCGCAATGACAAATATGAATCTATGTCCAGAAACAATTTTGCCCATGATCAAACCCGTAACCTTCAGATTTGAAATAAGCGCTATAGCCCATACAAACCTTTCTATGTCAATATTGTTTCAGATTGATAAACAAAAGTGTAAAATTGAAATTATAACAAAACATTGTCATAAGAAAATTGTGATGATATGGTAAACTGGACACAATAATAACATAATAATCTGTTGGTTAGAAGGAAAAATTGTTAAGATAGATTAGGCTACATGAAGTAAGATGTGTTCAAAAGGAAAGTGCTAGAATATTAAATCTTATAATTAGCTAAACGTTCAGAAAACATTTTAAAGTTAAAACTAAACAACCCAAAATTTCCAATTTTTAACAAAAAAATAAGCTAATCTAAGGCTTTGACAATAACGATAAAGTAAAATAATTTTTGACAATACATACTGTCAACAGCATCAGAATGTGAAGTAGACATTGTGAACATGCTTTGGTCGTAGACATCCCGAGTAACTGGCTGTATGGGTGCCATGTTGCTGGAAAAATTACAATTCATTAAAACTGTTACACATAAAAATAAATTCAGTAAAAAAAGAATGGGCAATATCTAATCTCAAACTAAAACTGTAAGTATATCCTCAACGGCTGAGATACAAAACTGATAAGATATTAATAAAAAAGGTCAGTGCAGTGTACATGATGAATTAAAACCTAAAACTTACAGGTCGGAGAAAAATATGGGGGAAAAAATTATTGACAAATCATAAAACTTAAACAGTAAGTTTATTCTTTGAACAGACAAGATAAAATATAAAACTGACAAGGTCGATACTCAATAAAACAGTTCCCAGCATAATATATTTTAAAAAAATTTACAACTGTACAATTATTTGAAATAATCATTAACAAATCACAAAGAAGGTAAATCCAACCAACTTAACTTTAGTACTTTAACATAACACAAAATTTCTCCGTTTTAACCTAACCTCACCTGTGACTGTAGAAGCTACTAGATCGGGAAGGTGGCGCAAGAGGAGTAACGGGAGGAGGAGGTGGTCGGACACCACCCATGGACGTAGACTTCTCCACCTACAGAAGACAAGAATTTGATGTTGGTAATATTGAGTTAATGTGTAGAGACTAAAGTATGATTAATAGAACTTCCCACAACATCATCCCTTAAAGAAACCCTATTAGCATGATGGGGCAAGACTCTTTCACCTGGTTTTTTAGTGTCAAAACTTGAGGAGTTCACGACTCGTGGAAGATTCCATTCTGAGCTTGGCGTTCATGAATAAAGTATTCTGTGTTGAGATTTAGATCATGGGTTATTTTTGCAATTAGGTACAGACCTACGATTCCCTGTGAGTATGACACATTTGGGGTTTCACACTGGGGTATATAATAAGAGTTTACAAAAGAAAAAAACATATAACACCAAACAACAAACACAAATAATCTGAAACAAACACTACAACAACACACACTTAAAGCCGACAATCTGAAAATTAGATATGTTAATCAAAACCTTATAAAGAAGAAAAAAGTTGTCGTTTTCAGCTTAACCCAAAAGACTAAAACTTTGTTATAATAATCAGACGAGACAAGATCACTCACTGGCTGTTACGAACACAAACTTGAAAATTTTGAAAAAATGTAAAAACTATATCTTTGCATGTATATTGGTTCATATGCATTCACTATGGTAGTTTCAGATAATTTTACAGCAACAATAAGATAAAATACCCAGTGACCAAAGTCTATCAGGGTGTCCACCAGGCCAACCAGAAAAAAATCATGAGTAATTCCAGGTAGTTCAGGTCGTACTTTTCATTCTTAACTTTCCAACGCGTTTTTGCGCCAAATCCCGCAATGCTGTTTTAATGCCAACACAGTTTGCTATTTTAGTTATTGGAAAAAGCATTCTCAGTTAAAGAAACAACATTTATGATTACTGTAATATTGCCTGACACAAGTATGCAGTTTTTATATATTACTGATTAAATAATCAGGAAATTAAAAACTAATCCTTAAACCTAAAATTTATTGATAACTTCTTAATAATAGTGAAATGTCGATACCAAAATTTATCGAATCTCCGTACCGACACCAGAAAAATAGATTCTTAATAAATACTGATAATTTTAATTTTAACAAAATTTCTGTAAGGATTTCTACACCAACCCATGTCTTCATGTTCTTTCATATAGTATGTAGTTTTGGAGTTATGGGTTGTTTTTCAAGTGGCCTACAGAAATAATTAATGCAGAAATTACAAAAATTTCACATAGCCAATTTAAGTTTTAAACCCTTCTACACACAATAAATAAATACCAAGTTAAAGGTAAATGAAGATATTACAAAAAATAAAAAATAAACTTTCTAGAAGTGTGCAAGAAAAAAGTTATCATCATCTTCCGCAATAGTAGCTTAATTTTAATCATTTACCACAGTCATCATCGTCAAGCAATAGTTTTTGGACATAATCATCGTTTCCCGCGGTCACAGAAACGTCATCGACATCATGCGCGATCGCAGCAAAATCATTAAAAAATCCTGCGGCCGTATGGAGTTTTGAAATCATCATTGTCTTCCGCGGTCATGGAAACGTCATCGGCATCTCCCGCAGCCACGGAAACGTTATTGTCATCTCCCGCGTACACGGAAACATCAATCGGCAAATTGAAAATTCCCCGTAAAATAAGAAATTCCAGCATAATTCCCGGTTTTCCTGGTCGGTGGACACCCTGTCTATCCCATTAACATATAAGTTCAGGTTTAATAAGAAATTGTCTATTGTCCGAGAATTAAGGAGATAAAGGACAGGATATAGAAGGCTTACCTTAAAAATTATAGGCATCCCACTTCACTAAAGTAACACAAAAGTAAACAAAAGGATACACTTAATATATTGTGTTACTTTAGTGAAGTGGGATGCCTACAATTTTTAAGGTAAGCCTGCTTATCCTGTCCTTTGTCTCCTTAATTCTCAAAGAAAAATTCAGTAATTTGATAACACTTTTATTGTGACCAGGCTTTAATGCGGGATTGTTTTTACATTACTTCAGGCTTGGCCTAAAGGTTGCGGCATTACCACTTAGCCAAAATCTCCCAACCCAAGGCCTCAGAGACCAAACTCCCACATTCTACCACTAGACCAGCCCACTTTTAATTTCATCACACTGGTCGAGTACAACTTTTGTCGTTACTCGATTGTTGTTTGTCAATGTTACCTGGGTGCGTACAATGTTTGTTTGTTGTATCTCCAATCGTTCCTCCTTGATGACGGCTCTAGGCTCAACACTCTCAACACTTCCCCATCGCCCGGCTGGAAACAACAATCACATGTTAAACACAACATGATTGAGCCAAAAAAAAAAAAAAAACATTTTACACCTACACAAAAAATAGAGCTTTTCACCAGTAAAAATTGGATGTGTTAAGAACACACCCAAATATAAAAGTAAAGTAGGACCTGTCTTAAATGAAAATAAGGGTTAGTCATTTAGGGTAGCCAACATTTTGGTTTTTTAGCATCTAAGAACTATATAAGAATAACACAATAATGTAACTGGAAGTAGGGGCTACATGTACAAAAAATACTGTGTGTACATGTACATGTACAATGTATTGTAAGTTCTTTGAGAAAATAAATATATATTCTATTCTATTCTATGTACACCAGAGGCACATGAAAAATAAGAGGCTCTGACAAAACAGGATTAGAGGTAGTGAGAAGTTGGTGGAATCCTTTAATGAAAAAAGGGTTTCATGGTATAAAGAAGGGTATGACTTAATTGAACATTGTGCCGCACGATAAATCTCCATCACCAAACCATACTCCGAGCCTTAGTCTAATGAAATGTCTGTGGATAACCTTAGAAGCATCAAGAATCCATCTCCTTCAAGATTACATTAGACTGAGTATCCAAGTTTATTACTGTACCGTATTTTTTACAACATCGGCTATTTGATAACCAAAGTAGATGTCCCATATACACGGACTAGCTTTAACAATATTTTTGTATTTAAAAAATAAAATAGAACATAGGACCTAGTTTCTCCCTGTTTTTGTTACTCACTATTAGAAACTATCACATTAACAATTAACACATTAACTACCAAGTTAATGTGGAAATAATAATGTTACAATGAGTTTCCATTCAGTCTGGCTAGGTTAAAAAGTTGGCGTATTTGAAATCAGTGATATAGCCTACAGGTCCTATAGGATAATAGCCTATAGGTGACTCAATTTATTTTTTTTCAATTCTTCAGAGAATTTCTTTTAAAAAATTTACAAACACAAATTTAAAACACCACTTACCTAGTTGCTGAGCCAACAGATTCTTGCGATGGTTGTCAAGCTTGGTGGGTCCTGGGGTGGGCGGAGTCATGTCAGGGATGGGCGGCGCTCGGTGGGCCGGCCGTCCTGTGCTTCTCAGGCTGTGATTGGCCGTCACCATCTCCAGCTTGTATTTCATCTCCGAGCTGATTCTCAGTTTGCCTACACTGCCTGGACTAGGTCGCTGGGCGCCTACCTCTAAAGATCTAGAAGGTTATGTTTTCAATTACACTCAAAGAATCATCAACAACCCAAATGCACTCAATATTAAAAAAAATAAACCCTCGTAAGGATTAAAAATCTCAACTATTAGTCTTTTTATAAATTAGGTTCAATTATCTATCTTAAATTTAACATAGTTTTTATAACAAAATGTAAATCCTAGAGTTTCTTGTTTTTCAAGATCGCAATGAATAATAAATATGCTTATAGTCACCTTAATATATTTCTATCAAAGCAGGATTAATCTAAATAAAGCATTTTATAACAAAAGATACTTTATATCCACAAATAAATATTGAATACAAACCTGAATCATTTGTACATTTATCAAGCCACCTCTTGATTATTATCTACCACCATTAACTTTGGACAATACAACAAAACTACTTACTATACTATTGTGAATTTAGTCTATTTAATGTTTTAGTGCTTGGGTATGGACTAAATGTTGCTCTACAAATTTATCACTCTATTTGTTAAAATTACTTTAAAGTTAGTTTCTTATAAAAATAACTATTTGCAAATGAGAAATCAACTTAATGAAGTATGCTCGCCATGGGGATGACATATCTAAAACACAGAGGATACGCGTCCGGTAACCAGACGTGGATTAGGCGTCCGGTAGTGACGTCACCGGGTTGTGGGGTCCCGGAACGCCATTACCACAACGATGCGATGTTCGGCCAGCGTTGTTCGTGGTGTAGTGGATAGAGTGCTCGGCTGATATCCAAGAGGTCCCTGGTTCGAAACCCATCGGTTTCTTTAACTTTTTGATTTTGTCACAGATTTTGCTTTGAATGTAATTTCTTCCTAACTGTACATCTTTTATTAGAACTTTTGGCATTTATAATTTTATGTTATGAAGAGAATTGAACCTTCATTTGATTTTATTCATTATCAGCAAGTTTGGTTGGTTAGGTTAGGTTATGACAGTAACTGCCGGACGCCTAATCCACGTCTGGTTACCGGACGCGTAACCTCTGCGTATCTAAAACTAATCTATGTTATTACTCACTTGATGGCAGATTTATGGACTTGGAGGTCATGTTTGATGTTGGGAGTTGAAGTTTGAATCGACTGATCTGGGATTTCAAACTCCTCCCACTCAACGCTACCACTGACTCCACCATCAACTTCATTCAACTCCTGAAAATTTTCAACTTATAAACATATCAATTAAAAACTTAACTCAAAATCTAATTTTAAACTTCTTATTTACTCCCATGGCAATTCAAACCCAAGAAGATATTTGGCTTCACCCAATAATTGCCTTCAATTTCCTTGGTACGGTCTATCTTCTTCATCGGTTCCCAACATTCTCATGCCTTTGTTTACCCTACTTGATCTTTCCACGTCTGTGAGTTCCGGGGGACTTTCCCAGTCTGAGGTTTTTTTTTTATATTTGTATCATAGTTTCATCTTCCTTCATTTAACACACCAGCCTATCTCCAAGGTCTATTTTTGCAACAGCAGCACCGCCTGGTGCTTAATACAGATTCCTAAGTTCCCTATTTTGCTTGATTCTCCATTTTCTTTTTGTCGTTCAAAGATTTATCTGAGCGCCTAGCTAGTTTTCAATTATTAAAAGCTTTATCTCAACACCTTTATCTGTAACGTGGAAGCCATATTCCAAATCATTATGCAAATAATCTAAATTAATATATCAGTAGTCTCTAACAAGTCTCAAATATCAGTAGTAATAGAAACCACAATTTATGTATCCTACAATTAGGCTATGTGATTAAGTTATTATGAAAATAGTTTTAACTAGACAATATTTTTTATTTATCTCACCAATGAAAAACTCTGTAGGTGATTGTTATCACCCAACGATACCAAGGAAGAGTTTTGTAATGTAATCATTGATCTATTCTAGACCTACCTGGGAATGTTTCCTGCGTTGTTTCAGTTTCATCTGCATCTGCATGAATGGCGACTCATTGTCGTCCTTAGGCGGAGGCCAACGCCACTTGCCGATCCTGACAGTCTTGGCTCGTCCGTACGGGTCCATGAACGGCCGCACCTCGTTGGGATCACCCAACTCTGGTGGGGGCGGCATTGGTGGAGGCGGAGGCACCACGGACTGTAAATATATTAGAAAGAAAATTATGTAAAAATATCTGTTTTGTAGAATAAAAATTACAATACCCAATGGTAAAGCGTAGACTTGAATCTTTGATTATTCATAATAAAACTTATACATTTCATTCTCAAGCAATAGTTATTGGCAGTTTTAGAATAAAAATGGACGTAATTGAATTGGACCACAGATAGGGTACGCTTATATAAATTACTGACTTCTGTAGCATAAGCCAACTTTTTAATCCAAGTCTTTTAGCATCTTTTATGTCACATTAACTATGTCAGTAACAAAAAACTTTGGGAGAAAATATAATTATAGATTATTTTACACTCTGTGAGTGGCTCATTATGTTTTTTTTATTTATTTATTTTTTTAATAATAACCTAAAGCTGGTTTATATGGATGGGATGACTACTTCAGTATTCAAAAGTCAATCCTTGTATACTTTTAGATGATTGATCAATATGAACCATCTGCAACTAGTCTCTGAATTGATGGGGACAAAAGATAGTTTACAACAATTTACTATTTTATTTTCACATAATTAATACAAGGTCGCCACTAAAAATTAAATTAATGGTTTAATTTAACCAAAGATACTTTCTTAATACTTTCTTATTAAAGCCCATACAGCTAATGGCAACTAAGGGACCTACAGTTTATAGTGGAATCCAAACCACATTTTTGCCTTGGTATATTCAAATTGGCGGATAGTCATAGTACTCACTCGTGGGACGTTAATCCACACCAGGGAGTATTGCATCCACAGAGCATGCCTATAAATATCCACATTAAGTACCACTAGAGTAGGAAGTGACCCATCCATATTTTAAAGGTCAAACTGCAAAATTCATGAGTCATTCACTGTTTAATGTTTTCAAGATTGAGTGAGTTCCCTTTTCAAAAGTTGATTTAAAGGAACTACTACAGTATTTTACAAAAGGTACTATGGTGATGGGCATTTGAGTATTTTTACTAATAAAAGATGTACTGTATAAGTAACTTACTTTGATGTTGGAATCCACCGATGACTTCCGACTCTTCAATTCAGACAAGACGTTAGTAAAGGCAGAATGAGGCGAGCCAGAACCAGACCTATTGTGCACCTGCTGTAAAAGTAACAACGAGTGAAATAGAGTGAAATTTTACTGGTATGATTTCAATCAATCGATTCTTTGAAATGGTGACAGACACTTAAATGCATATTTTAGGCTGAAAAAAATGCAACGTGAGTGTAGAATGGAGTGCAATGATCTACGTAGCTTTGTCACAGACTAAGAGCAGATGTATCTTTAGTCAGGATTATTAATATCCCAACTTTGATCAAGGATAGGTGGACCCAGTTTCGGTTCATCAAAAAGCTTTTGATTTTTCTCAGGATCGCATCGCGACTTTAGGCAATCATTAGGCAATGTAACCACTCAGCTACCCAGCTATTCTTTTACTCATAATGAGTTGTTGTGGTATTGTTCATATACATATTGTCAAATCCTTAAACCAAGAATTTTGTTAATATAATGAATGATTAGGTTGGCGTTTTTATCTGCAGTATATTACGTATATTTTGACATAAACCGTTTCATCCTAGATCACCGTTTAATTGACCTTTTAAGACCAGAGTGTTTATTTACCTGTGCTTTGGTGTTAGACAACTGGGGTGGAGCTGGTCGACCTTTAGGTGGAGATCCGACCCAGGGTGGTGGCGTCTCATTGACTGCAGGCTGTCAACAGAACAGTAATTTATTAACTTGTCATTTTTACAACCCTAACTAAACTAACTCACTGACGAATAAGCCATTTGATTGAAGTATTCAATGCATTTGCAGGGGATGTTTTTCAAGTTAGGGCCGTTTAGTTTTTGTACAGCTCAACAAAACAGCTCGCCACTTACTGCACTTACTTGCATTATTGGGGAACAGAATGGCGCCACTTGCAGTTCTGTAGCTGACGAGTACACTAGTCTAGAAGTGTTTTAAAATTAATGAATCTCCTGCCACATGTGAGATAAGGTCTGTCGGTCAGTGATAAAGCCCCCCACACACTACCAGACCAGACCTCCAGACCAGACCGTCTGGTCTGGCGTCTGGCACTTGTCTTATCGTGTGTGGGACTGTCTGCAGACCGATTTTCTCGGACCAGACTGTCTGCGTGTCTGATGGTTGAACCCTCAGACCACAGACGGTCTGAGGTTCCCCCACCACTATTTTTGTCTGGTCTGTGAGTGTGTAGCGCTGTCTGTCAGACGGCCGACCATCGTGACAGGCTTCATCCATTTGTTGGAGTTCTCACCATGGTCTCTCAATTACGAATGTTAGACCGTCTGGTCTGGGAGTGTGTAGAGCCGTCCAAGACGGTCTGGTTGCAGCCAGACGGTCTGGTCTGGAGGTCTGGTCTGGTAGTGTGTGGGGGGCTTAAGTTTTTTGATCACAAGAATATATTTGATGCTAACATTCATCGCCAGATGACTGAAGTTTATGGCCCCAATGCAATGATAAAGAGGGTAAGGAAGGGAAACGGGTTAGGGAGTGTGAAAATGGCCTTGAAATCCTTTTTCCTTTGTGGTCTGCTGTGAGAAGTCTGGGTACCCATCAAAAACACAATTCCTTCCAAAATGAAAATTTTCTCAGCCATTTTAATATAATGCAGGATACTATAGTATAGAGCAAAGTAGCAACACATAAAAACAGTAATTAAGACTTGAATGGATAATCTATCTACATTATTAATACACTATAAGAAACTTTGTGAACAATAAGGCTTTTTTGTTTTAAGATTCAACCCCACATATTACATACCAAAATGTTCATCTAGGTATAGATTTGCAACCTGACCTTATATTTTTGAAAAAGGTCCCTTGGTCTCTGGCCCATTGACTTTTAAAAATTACCATGTTATCCTTATGAAAAACGAAATTGTTTACATTATGATCAACTGGATAATTTAATTGCTGTTAATATTTTAGTTGCAATTTAAGGAAACAGGTGCTACAAACATTTACTGATTTGGTTGAAATGAAATATTTACTATTTGAATTTGGGTTGGCGTGAATAGTATAATGGAAAAAGGCAAGAAAGCCTGGACAATTCGATATACAGTACTAAAATGGAAACTGAATTAACACTGTGCTGCATTTCTTGAGCAATTATTAAAAGAGCATATTTGCAAACTATGGAAACATAGGCAAGTCATAGAACACCACCAAGTGGAAGAAATAGAAATAATGTTTTTTTTTTATAATTTATAATCGTTATTTTATTTTGGACAACGTAAAAGCAGGTATGAGTGGGAAATATTTGTAGAAAACACTAAAAAAAACAAGATCAGCTTTTGAAAAATGATGAAGATATTTACAAGAAATGTTGATTATGTTGATCTGTTATGTACATTGTGAGTATATCCATAATCTTTGAGTCGACTCTTTTAAAGGCATCGGAAATTTATTAAAGTTATTTGTTTTAAAATAACACCTGTAATACTTCGTAATTGCTCAAATTTGAGCAACAGGTACTTATACACTAATGACGCTTAAAAGTGGACAATAAACAACACATCACATCACAGCTACATGACACTAACCGTGGTGGCCTGCTGCTGCAGAAGCTGTTGCAGAGCCTGGTTCTGCGCGAGCAGCTGTTGCTGGATCTGTATGTTCTGCGCCATGGCAGACTGCAGGAAGGCCCGGTGTAGGTTAGCTTGGTAGGCAAGGACATTTGGGTCGTTCTGCTGGTTGCCGTTTGACTGGTTGTTGGGCAGACTCAGGCCTGGAAATGTATTGGGAAATGTAACATTGTAAAATGCAGTCTGGAAATGTATTAGAAAGAGTAAAAGTAATCCTTACTAATAAAATTTAAACTAAAAAAAAACATTTAACTAACATGGCATTATTTGCTTTACCTTGCATGTTGTATATAGGCACAGGCATGAACCCAGGAGGCATTGAGGCTGGGTCTACCGGGTAACCCATACTAGCAGCTCCTGAACCTGACAATCCAAGGTGGTACATTAGGAAACTATGTTAATAAATGTAAAATGAATTGTTACTAGTTCAGAGGAATTTATAGAATGTCAATTAAGTTGCAAGTAGGGATGGTGATGCAAGAAAGACAGAAAACTCCTTCACCACTTTGCCCCTACTCTTAAAAATAAATCTCAGCGCAATTATGGGATGGCTGTAGAGAGTAACACAGGCGATGGTGGCAGGGGAAGGGACCTAATGTGCATGTGCATGATTTGATCTATACAAAAAGAACAGATCTTGTAAATTCCTAATGAAATGTTCAAACTAATTCTCAAACAAGAATCTCCTTTTCTTTCTTTAAAGTAGATTTATGTTATATTTATCTGAAGGAACTGGCTCTTTATTTCAGTTTAAACAAAATAAATGTTGAGATGACACAATTTCAGGGGTAAGTACAAATTAATTTTGCAAATAGGAGTTTGTTAAGTAAATAGGCCCCTACCCGTAAAAAAGCAAAACTCCTTAAAATAAAAAAAATAAATAGCGTGTACGAGATAAGCAGAACACATTGAACCCGTCAGCACAAGATAGTACCTGAAGTGAGACTGAGGTCTTGCGTCCGTCCGGAAAGTTTTTTTTTTTTTTTTTTTACCACTATACAGTTGTCCATGTGTTTTTTTTTAAATTGTGATTTTCCAACTTTGGCTGGGTTTGTACTATTATTGTTATGTTTTCGATACTTTATCTCCTGATCAGATTTCAAATTCCATATGTTGTAACTTACCAATCATTATGTACAATGTACACAATAATCTCTTACATAACATAAACATAGATATACCATAACATAGCTCACCATTACCGATAATGAACTTAAAATAAAGAAGTGCAATGTACCTGATGTGTTGTAAAGAGGCATGGTAGGCATGAGCAGCGGAGGTGACATGAGTGGAGACATGACAGGCTGAGGAGACATTGGCATGTTGTACATCTGCTGGTGTTGTCCATGAGAGTTCTGCAACATAGAGTAAACAGCTGATCATTACAGGAATACATTACAATCATACAATTATTCACTCAATACTACTCTACTACTACTTTTATCAAAAGACTACTCTTCATTAAGAGTCTTCTTCACCCCTCCGAAAACAGGGCATCCCTCGCACCCTATGGAATGTGTGAAGATATAATGTTAAAACTTTTTTCTGTTACAGATTAATGTTGGTTCTAGGGCCCTCATACGTGATATATCCAAGAAAATGAATAGTATAACTAAAAAAAATCTGAAAGTAACGTAAATTTAGTCACTTTTAAACACTAATAAAACTAAATACTTTTTTTTCATTTTCAACCTTTTTAGGTATAAGAGCTCTAATATTTCAACTATTCAACTATATTGATACCGGATAAAAAAAAAATTCTGCTGGAAAACGGCCTCCGAAACTGAGGACGAAAAATACATGTTTTGTCGGAGGCTACTTCGCTAATAGCCTTTACAAAACTTGGCTCAGGTGGCAGATGAATCACCGACGTGTCGATTTAGTAGTAATGTGTTTACAATGTTTTCAGAATGGCGTGCATAATGACCCCGCACTACCTGCCCATCTTTAAAACCTTTCCCCCAAGGCCATATCCCCAAAACGCAACTACACCAGGGGTGAAGAAGACTCTTAAGTTAGGGACTATAACAAATTAAAACGTACATATATGATTTTTTTTTTTTTGTTGTTGTAAGGGTAACAAAATTTATAAAAAAAAATCTTAGTTTAATACTATTTTCAATTGACCGCCTCAAAAACAGCTGATAGCCAGCAGTTGTGGCAAAGTTGTTTCTGCACATGACCTTCTGGGGCACTGGCATCGTGGAGGTGGGGAATAACCCCTATATATATGGCGCATACAGTACGAAGTCAGTCAAGTAACCAGCGAGCACCCAGGCACATCTCTCCTTGGTAAGTGGAGTGGAGTACAAGAAGGAATTTTGGATTTATTAGTCATTATTATTTGTCGCTAGGCGTATTTTTCATTGATATCCAACCATTAAATCATTCTAGTTACATTGTCATCACAAAGTGATAAAGATGTCAAAAGAGAATCCGTGAGACTGAATAAAGAATTTATTCCGAATGGAATGAAATTCAGTTTGCAGTAAACCACAGACTTAACAATACACAATATTTTGCTTTAAGTTAGGACTTCTTCATAGGGTCCATTCAAGAGAGAATTTAGTCAACATAACCAGTGTAGTAGAAAATCTTTAAGCCTCCGAACTCTTAATTTATCATGAAAATAAGCTGAACCTATCTCTTAAAAATTGGTAACACAGAGATAAAGTGACGTTAAATAATCCACGCCCAAGGAAAGGAACCATCAACTCTCCAATTTAAGGATAACAAAACACAAACTTACATCTTGTTGTGCCGTATGTCCTCCTCCTTTGATTGTGGCTACCAGCATCTGCGGGTCTGTCTTGCAGTCAACAAACAACGGGTCAAACACATCTCTTATGAAATCTTCTTCTCCCCCGCATCTGCTCAAGAATGAATGCTATTGTTTTACACTGTTTTAGAGCAATTATCTAGTTACAAGAATGTAACATCATAAAAATATGACAAAGCATAACCGAGGATAAAATAAACAAACTGGACAAGGACATAAATTGGATGAAACCAACCTTAAAATAACGTCTTCAGCATTAGCACACTATATTTAATCTAATATAATAAATCAACTATAATATAGTAAATAACTGTTTTAGATAAACAACTCAGTTTTAAATCTGAATTCTGCTCAAATAAAAATCTTTGACTATTGGCAGAATATTCATCCAATTCATATGTTAAATCTCTATCAAGTTTTTAAATAAAATAAAAAAAACTTATGTCAATTACTGATTTACTACTTGTGAACTGTAAAATATTTCTTTACATTAACTGTCTCACCAACAAAAGCTAAAGAAAATATAATTTTATACTATAGCACACTATTTGAGCAGTTCGTTCAACCATGTTCAAATAAACAAAATTGGATGCACCTGAACCATATGGACGACATCAGTATTCAAAATTGAATTATACAAAACAATCAGCTGACCTAGATGAGCCTCCTTTGATGGAGGCAGCGAGTGACCTTGCGTCCGACAGCTGATCCAGCACTGGGCTGAACAAATCGTCCAGGAACTGATCCACATCCGAGGCTTGCGACGGAACTCTCACTCTCCTCACGTGACTCGCTGAAACATACAATTGTCGCAAACTATTAACTATTCACAAAAAAAAGTAACATTTTACTGTTGAAGAAAAATATATAAAATATTGTATAAACTCTTTGATTATATGGGTGGAACTAAAAATTTCATTACTACAGGGCTGCTTTAGAAAATGGCGAGAGGTTTTATGTTTATTTGGGGGTGCAAAGAGAAAAAATCCCAGGCAATAAAAGAGCGGAGGGGGGGGGGAGGCTCAAATACCGCCTATACCACAGACCCTCATTTTCATATGTAAAAATGAATTCACATTCAAATTAGGTGAATATGCTACCTAATACGGCAAGTTTTTTACCAAGCTAAACTGAAAGAACACATTATTGTAAGCTGTAGAATATGTTTGCCGAATAAAATATCAAAGTAACAAAAAATAAGGGAGAAAATATAATTCTAGAGTGTAGCATACTCCATAAGTGAGTCTTTCAACCATATTATTTCTAAATAAAAAAAAACATTCCTGCAGATGATCCACATAAATGGAATGTGTACTTCAGTATTAAAAAATAAAATATACAAAATAATGGGCTTGTACTAACAAGAGAGACTGGTCTCAAATCTGAATTAGGAACAATCCTATAAGTATTTTGAAAATTGTGCTTATTTAGGACAGTACAGTAGTAGTTTTTTTTAGCTAAATCGTTTTGAAGTCAAATTGAGTTTAGTTTTTAATCGTCAAACAGTTTTATCCAACAGGTTTCCAGGAAATTGCATGAAAAACAATGATTTGGGAATCTGAAAACCATTACAACCGTGGATTTTCAGAAGTCTGTTGACAGTAAAAATTCTCTTTATCTTATCATTTTATTGATTTAAGTTATATTATCTACAGAAAACGAATTCCAAAAAGGGACGCAAAATAAGACTAAGATTTTAAACTGTTATTACTGAAAGTTAATACATTAATATACTATAAAACTTAATAGATAACTTTTTATTTTGCAGTTATGAATATTGTTTGTAAAATCATTGTGCTAAATTTATTTAATAATTTTATTTTTCAATATTTATGATGAAGGAAAAGTATTCTTCAATCAAGCCAATCTTCTTGCGAGTTTTTCCTTGAAGTTCTTCATTTCCAATCCCTGTACCTAACAAGAGTTTACAAATGTTTCATGTTCATTTGAGTTTAATGTTGTGGAGTCATGTAATTGCTGGTTAAAATATGTTACACATTTCATGGGCGTTTTGAAGCAGACGAATAATAATTAGGAATGAGATCTAGGGCGTTTCTCTGGGCTTTTTCGGGGAGGAAGACTCCAAAGAGTGTAAAAAACAGTACCACTGAGAGCAGCTATATAACTGGAAATGTAGAATTTCTGAAAAGCTGTAAAACCAGACATTTTGAAGCGGGTAAGGGAGGGGAAGAGAATAAAATTTTAACTTTACTACTATGGTAACTGACTAAAATGTGATCTTTCATTTTTGTGAACTTTTTTCCCTACACTCGACAAAGTCCTTAATGGAAACAAAATATTGTGTTTTGTGTCTTATTTGTGTTTTTACCTACACTAGTACTTCTTCTAAGGTAAGCAGCTTCTATTACCCTTTATTCTACAATTCAAAATACTTGAACAAAACTAATATGCGAATCTTGATTGTTAATAATGAGAAAAGAACAAAATTGGAACAATATTCATTTTAAACAGAGGACAAACATATTGATCGCATTGAGAGCATTTAAAAACAGACTTGGATGTATAGAGTACCACAGAATCCTGAAACTTACCTAGAGATGGAGCTTCACTAGTGTCGGAGAGAGCAGAGCTCTTCACACCAGACTCAGACTTGTCCGAATGCCTCGTCTCAATCTGCGCTCGACTAGAGTGACTCCCAGGTGCGGCACGCTTGCCTGCGTACTGGGACTTGATAAACCTGGAAAATGTAGGTCATTTCAAGGTTATGAACCAGAGGCAACAGGGTTTAGTCTGGGTACATTATCAGGGGTAGCCTAGAGGTTACAGTGCTCAAATTCAAATCTAATGGATGCAATTTTGCCATTGGAGTATCAATTTATGGAACTAACAAGGTCAAGATTAGGTAGTAACAAGACCAGGATATGGTCAGTTCCTTTACGAAAAACAGAAGCTGATGGCAAAAAAAAGGTAAGGTCTATTTTTTTAGAACCTTTAACAGGCTTATCTGAGGTAGGAAAAGTTCAGCCTAGCACATGAAACACAACTGTGAATCAATGTAAAATATTACCATTTGAATTTAAACATAAACATTTTAATATTTCACTGTCATTGATTAATTAGCATTTATCAAGAAACATTTTGAATGGGGAGAAAGAAAGAAAGTGGAAATTGAGACATTCCTCTTCAATTCAGAGAGAGCCTATGTTTTTACTGTTTGGATTTCTTGTAAGTGTGAATATTTATGTCATGAGAATCAAAATTTAGAAACAGACATTTGGATCCAAGCAATTAAAAATCTGTAAACCATAATATTCAGTAAGGTAATATCCAGAACTATCATACCTTGGATGACCCCTGATGTAAGATCCTTTGTCATCTTCACTCCTTGTGCTCAACTCTGGGAAGTCAAACTCCAACTGGTTATGAGACACCAAGACGTCTGAAGAAGCTCTGTAGGGGAAAACGATACAGATATTTATTTTAGCTCGCAAAAAGACTATTTAAAATCTTATTTACACTCAATTTTCCTTAACACTTAACCTCATGGTAACTATGGAACAATGCCATCTGATTGCAACCATCAGCTGATTGGTTAAAGAAATTAAGAAAACAGCGATACCAGCAGCTTGTTTTGCCTGCATGCGGTACAAGTAAATTGGGTTATTAAATAAAACAACCTATAATATAAACGCAATGTATCATTTTTTTTTATTAACTTGAATTTGAAATTTAGGACTTAATTGTTTTGGATTTGGATTTGAAATTCTTAGATTTACCAATAGAATATGAACAAACTTGATTGAAAGGTAAAGATTTGTGGGAATAAACCACATCACCGCCAACAATATGATAAGGTAAGAATCAAGCCCTATCAGCTGATCGGAGGGCAAGCAGACAGCTGTAGTCAAACACTTGCAGACCAGCGCTCCTGCCGAAAAAACCAGAAACGACCGGCCAGTAGGTTTGTCGATGGTGAACTCTCACGGTGTCAGGACCTGTTACTTCTCTCCAGTTGGTAAAGTACCAGTAGGACTAATGGCCAATTAGTTAATTAACTTTTTGGGGGAAAAGAGGGGTTAAGATCTTTTCAAAATTAGTAAATTTCAATCAGCAATAAAGAAAACAATGTTAACTAAATAAAATTACGTAATTATCAATAATTCAGGCTTGTTGCAGGCATCTAATCATGGCATGGGGTTAATTTAGAATATTAAAAAAAATTTAAAAAATGTGTTTATGTAGTTAATTTATTTATCCAAGACTTATCAAAGCTGGCTTACGCTGGGAAGGGTTTACGAGAGTGCTTTAGGGGAATGGATCTAGCACGGTTACATTAAAATGTGGCTCTGAGAGGATTAATTCCAGTCAGGACCGCACGGATTGTGAATTATGAGTTTTTCTAACTGACCGCAGACAAACCACTAGGAGACATCCCACTCACCCAGTCAGGCTGTATTTTCTGTTCTCTCCTCGCTGACTGACACTCTCAAGGTTGTCTTCGTCCGCTCGGTTGCTCGTTGTCTCCGCTACCTCTGCCTCAGCTATCCGCTCCATCGAGTGGTAACGCTCGTTAAGTCGTGAGTGTGACAGTCCAAGCGTATCGAGCTTGGAGCCTACAGAACTTGCAGCTGCAACCTATGACCAGAAAATAAGAATAAATATGGTTACATAAAACATAATTCATTTTATTATTTATCAGAACTTAGTAAATATTTTGGAAATCTTTCTTAATTTTAGAATAAGAACCAGAATAAGAATGCTCAATTGCCATTACCCTGGTTTACATGCATGGCACATTCAAGGAAATGTCTATTTCTCTGTACGGACACAGGTTTAAAGGTAATCCTTACTTTACTACTAGTTTTAGTACTGGGGTAATCATGGAACTTGACAAGTTAACAGTGGTACTGTAGATAGAGTGTTGAATCTCCTGTGAAAAAAAATACTTTTTGCGGGGGGATAACATTAACTTAAAGGGGATATCATTGAAATCCCCGAGCACAAGTATTTGAAAAACATAATTTTACAAAACTGTATATGCGGAACATGGATACTATTTATTTCAATTCATACATTAAGTTATAAAAGTGTAGGTTTGTTAAATTAAACCCATGAATATTATATAAAATATTATGAATATTAATGGTTACTTTATCCAAGGACTACTGTACTGATACTGAAGGATTTGGATGGACTGGCAAAAATGTTGACGACAATATTTTAATTTAGCTAAGCCAACCATACATTAACAACCTTTTAATTTAGTTATGGTAGCTTAAGGTTGTCAAACTTTAAATTTTGCTATGCCATCTAAAAAACGTTGACAAACTTTCAATTTGGCTAGCCACCAGCTTAATATTGCCAACAATCTTTTAATTAGGTTCGTCCAGACAAATGTTACCTTTAATTGATTTTTCACTCATAACAAAAGAATGGAATTGTTTTCACTAAACAACAAAACATTTCAACCAAAATTCGATTCAATAGAAACAATAAGACTAATAAGAGGCAAATTACTAAGATCCTAATCCCAACTACTAGTAGTCCCAATATTCTAGTGTCTTAACAATCATCCTCCACAGTTGGCGCTACTGACCGGAGACAGCAGATTGTCCAGACTGCGAGAGCGGCCGGGCTTGTCGAAGTATCTGTCGTTGAGAGCGGACTGACGGGACAAACCAGAGTCTGTCGTGTGGTCCCGGGAGATGGATCTTCCCTTGGCAGATACTGGCACCTAGCAACATAGGGTTTGTGTTTATTCACTTAATTCTGTCTTATTTTCAAGGCCATTAGCATTTCCTAACATTTTAAAGTCCAGACCCTGGGGAGCGAGCTTGTCTAGTGGTTAGAGCACGGGATTTTGGTCCCTTAAGTCCTGGGTTCAAATCCCACCAAATCACCAATGGAATTTATCTAAGTGATTATGCCGCAAGCCCTAGGTCTAGCCTGAAGTACTGTGAAAAATGAAAAACGATCCCAGGCTCGTGCCTAGGAAAATAAATGGTAACATCTACATTGGAATTACATGTACTCAAATTAAGGCACAACAATTGCTGTAAATAATTTGGATTTTCTGTTCATGTATAACATTATATTAAAATTAAACCACTTGTGTAATTTCCAAAAAGACTCATACAGTAGTATCAAAACTCCCAACATTTCCCAAACGATTTAGGCATATTATGACTAAACCAGTACTGCTTAGTCAGAACTATTGCAATTATGCTGAGATAATGTTGATTTGTTTCTATAAATACTCACCACATTGACGGGTGGTGGTTGTGGCGGAGGGACAGTTGGTCGTCTGTTGGTAGGTTGGGGTTCAGCTGGTTGTACCTAAACAAAACCAAAATAAACAGTGTTACCAATTTGACACATACTTTCCCATTAGCTTGTCAAAAACCTGTTATCATGTGTAAATGGTGGGAGTACAGTAACTTAGATATTTTACGGTGTAAATCACAAATGTTGCAATACAATTTTCACTGTAATTTTTACAGAAATCGGCATTTTATCATTTTGTTTAGAGTTAAAAGGACTAACGTAACTTGGACAAAAAGAATAAACAACATTTTATTTTACTTACCTTTGTGCTGATGACGGGGGCTGACTTCTGCACGGGGAAGGCCGGAGGAAGTTCCAGTTCAGAGATGGCGTCCAACACATAGTCCAGTCCGTTCCTCTCACCAGCCTCGTCCAATGACAGAGTCCAGCCGTGGGACTCTGCCACTCCCCGAGCCTGCAGAACTGTAGAGCAAAGGTCCTCACAACGTGTCCACGAGTCTACTGACGCTGTTGTGGTCTCACCTGTACATTTAATAGCACCATTGGTTGTTGGATACTGAAGTACACATCGCATTTAAATAAAGCAGCAGTATCATATTTTTATATTAAAAGGAATATACTTCAGTTGAATGAAACCACTCACAGTGAGTGTAGTTGATATGACATAAAAAACTATGTAGTTAGTGTGGACTATGTAGTTTACAATAAGTTATTCTTTCAGTCTGGCTAGGTTGAAAAGTTTGCATTTTGACAGATATCTTTAGTTCAGCAGCAAACTTCCAGTGACTTGATTCGAATGAAATTTAATTTTCCCCCAAAACTGGTTACAAATTTAACAAGGGAGTTGAAAATCTAGTTCCATCCAGAGTCATAATTCGGCTTGGAAATTGAAGTTCCTTTAAAAACACTGTGAGAAGATTTCTTCAACTGGATACTTCTAAGCTGTAGAAAAGGATACTTTTTGCCATGAAAGGTATTTATGAACACAATTATGAAGTAGTTAAGATCGCACTGGGTCGGGATAGCAAGGACAGACGGTACTGACGTTCCGCAATTTTTTAATGGACTGCTCCCACTGGATCGGTAGGTACGGGATGTACAGCTAATAAGGACTTTCCTCACTTTTATAGTAGGGTGCACACACTGGATTGGTCAGTACGGAACAGACGGACGATAGATTATTGTATATACCAATACCAATTATTTAAGATGGGGACGCCGCTATGTGCGTATTATAACCCAATTATGAGTAAAGGATGAGTGTAGGATGAGTGACAGAATCTTGTAGTCTTGTTAGTGATTAAGGCCTTCCTTAGACACAGCTGTTAATTAATAGCCCATACAGCCAATGGCAACTAAGGGACCTAAAGTTTAAAGTGGAATCCAAAATAAATTTTTTCCTTGTAATTAACGAATTGGTCTAATTATCAGGATAGCACTGCGGATGGTCGTAGAACTCACCAGTGTGCGGACGTTAATCCACACTAAGGAACATCACATCCACCGTGCATGCCTACAAACATTCACAATTCGTGACCTCATAGTAGCTGGATTACAGGATGAAGCCACCGTCCCGGATACCTCCATAGTAAAGCCTGGTATTTGTGCTAAAAACTACCTTATAAAAAAGCAAAATGTCCAAACCGAAACACGTGCGCACACTACAGATGGCGCGGGTCGGTGGATGTCAGATTGGTGCGGCACATCAGGATGTTCTAGAAATCTTTTTCCAAACTTTCTTCGGACGGCAGAAGGTGCGAATGGTCCTGTCCTGACCTTGACGGCCTAGTGCAAGCACACATAGGCAAATCAATGCTTAACGTTTTTTTAAAGTCCCGTTCGTACTGGCCGTCCGTCGGTCCTTCCGTCGGTCCGTCCGTCCCGGCCCAATGGTAATCAATGGTACTTCATTAATCAAAAGTCCTTCACTCATATTCCCCTTAAAATACACAACCAGGTGTATTACCATCATATAAATCTAACTTTAATCCTAAACTATACCACTATTTAATATGTTAAGTTAATTATGTTGAATTATGTGATGTGACACTGTTCTTCGCCATAATACAATGAAACTCTTCTATGCTATGATACAATTTCTTTACAGTATGAAACAACTGTGATACCAATAAGTGTTATGAGACTATTCTGTGTTGCGAAACTCACCGTCGGGGAACTGCAGTTGCAGCGCCATGTTGACTCTCTTCCTGTTAGCTCTCCACTCTATGAGGGACGGAGGCAGAGAGCGAGGCCACTGTCCGTGCGACTGCAGGAGTTTGTGTTGACACAGAGCCTTGTAGCCATTGTACGCGTGGTCTGACACATACCTATGGGAGATAGTAGTGGTGGATATAAACCCTGGCTTTGGATACCGGACACATTTAAAATATAGTTGTATTTTATTAAATAAGTGCATCTTTAACTGTCTGACAAATATATCTCAAAAGTGAGAGTGTTTAATTTATGATGTATTTTTACTATTTTTTAAATAATTATTTATTTTTATTAGATAAATAAAAGTACAAAGTGTTTATGATAAATAAAATAAATTTAAATGCAAATAAGGAAAGAAATTCTTCTGTTAGTGTCCACATCAGTGGCACATTCATTGAAAGTATGACAAACGTTCTTAAGAGTCTGCAGGAGTCAATAATTTTGCATTGTTGTTGACTGTCAGATACCAGGCTAAACAGTGGTTCCTAGCGCCGATCAGCAAAAACATGCGTTCACATTGAAGCATATTAATCATGCACCGTAAGCTTGATTACCAAGCGGAAAATGTTCTGTGATTCTTAAATATATTTACCGTGTGAATTGCTTTCTGGATTTTTAAAATTTTTGTTTTAGACGTTTGAAAAATTCACAGTTTAAGTCAATATAGTTTGATAATAATAATAACAATTAAAATTTGAAAGCAAATCACATCCACGGTTTTAATAGCTTAAAATGAGATATTTTGCAACTTTTTTATTTTAATAAACAATGCTATACCATATATATGCTTCAACCATTAACATTGCCGTTATGGACAGAGTATCCAAGATGGCTAGCGGTCCTGCCGACTCTTAAGTGTAAGTGGCCAACATTTTTGTGGGTAACCAAGCGATCAAACCCTTCTTACACAAAGTCTGAGACCCTAAACCACTAGGCAAGCAACACAACAATCTTGCAGAATACCAAGTTTTGATTCCAATTTAGAGGTAGGGATAAAATGTTTTCTAAACATCCATATAGATAGTGTGGCTGCTTTAGTAGCTATAAGTTGATGGGTTTTGTTACTCACTTGAGCAAGAACTTGTAGAGGTGGTGTGATGGAGGGAAGACAGACAGACAGTTGGCCATCAGTAGCCATCCTCTCTCGTTATTGGCCACCACGTCGTTGCGCCATGTCTGGTTGACCAACTGACACAGTATCTCATCCCTGAGTCGCTCATTGCTGATACCCTATGTTAGGACAAAATATTAGTTATGTATTATGATGTCTTACAGTGTTCCTATAGTCTGTGAACTTAATTTTCTCAGGTCAATAGTCTCTTTTTACACTTTATTATCTTACCTTATAGGCGATGTAATCTCCGAGCGCTTGTTCCTTTTTGCCACTGAGTGAATCATCGTTCATGAATCTCAGGATCAGTTTGAACAAGGCGAGCGAATCAGCAAAATCGGAATCTTTTGCCTTATTCAAGAACGGAGTCTTGATTGGCTCCCTCTTCATTCCCCAAACGTGTGACTGGAAATAAAGCAAAAAAACGATGGTTAGAAGCACACATGTAGTATGTCCATTTTTTTGTAAAATGAGATACCGCTACCACTGAATTGGTGGAGTCTTCATCTTTACAACTGCACACTCGTTATATGTCCAATATAACCCAAAAATTTTAAATAAATAACAAAAGAAAATACAGAGTCTTGAGTATTGACTCATTATAAAGTGCACACCTGTGTTATGTCCTTAAGTTTTACAGAGTAATAGTAGCTTTATTACTGGGTATCTTGGTTTGTGTGCACACACATCTTATGTCCGGACGTAAAACTCTTGTGCAGAAGAATATGTTGTTGTGTTGCTCACAGGGTATTACACAACTGGACATGGAACTGTTGTGCAGTAAGATTTTATTCCTCTGTGGTCAAGCAGCTGATTGTAAGTACATACCAGATTTATTTTTATGCACACATGCCACATGTCCGGGACATAAAACTGTTGTGCAGAATACGCTTGTACTTTAATTCCAACAGTTCGTTAAACATCTGGACATGGAACTGTTGTGCAGTAAGATTTTATTCTTCTATGTTGGCTTTATCAGTTTTTAAAGAAAGGATTGTTTAAAAATGGATCCTAAAAGTCGAGGATTGAAAATGTTGGAGATTTTAAAGCAGAAAACAGATAGAAATGCTCATCACAAACTATTTACAAAGGTGGAAAATATTTCAGCTTTGCTATGCTCCCCTACAGGTAAGCCAGAAGTGCTAAAAAGAAACACAGAAATGTATGTCAAAAGTTCCTTTGTGCCTTATTTCAGATAAGCACTCAAATAATTTAACTGGCTTTGGAAAAAACATCTTCAAGTAGAGTATTTTTATGAGAAGATGGTAGGAAAGGCAGGCCCGTTCCAAATGCTTCAAAGCCTGAGGAAATAGAACATGTTAAAAAACACATAGACAGTTTCCAAGGATGGAGTCGCACTATTGTAGGAAGGACTAAAAAAAACTCTGTCTCTCTCCAGAGTTAAATGTTTCTGAACTTTACAGATAGTATGTGACGAGTTTGCACAAAGGAAAACGTAAATCCTGTAAAAAATGGTGTGTTTCATTCAGTTTTCAAATCCTATGATCCTCCCCTGACAACATTTGTCCCTAAAAAAGATCAATGTTCCAAATGTAACCAGTATTGTGCTTCAGTATCGGGCTGCTGAAGATAAAACTAAATTTGGTGAGAACTACGAAACACATGCAAGGCGAAAAACAGAAGCAATGGACATGAAGAAGAAAGACATGAACTCTAAAGAAAAAGATCAAGTAACAGCTACTTTTGATTTACAAGCTGTGTTGATGGTACCATTTGCTGGGGACTGTAAAATTTACTATAAACGGAAACTTTCTGTTTACAATTTCACAATTTTAGATTCTAATTCAGATGGATTCTGTCATGTATGGGACAAGAGGAATGGAATGAATGGTTCAAGTGAAATCCGTACAGGCCTTATAATATACATGAAAAACCTACCTACTCATTTCAAACATGTTACAACCTATTCTGACACCTGTGGAGGGCAAAACAGAAATCAGTTCATAGGCTCTGCAATGTTGTATATTGTAAATAAGACAAACATTGAAAGAAAATGTAGATATGAAGTACATGGAACCTGGCCACACGTACTTTGAAGCAGATTCCATGCACTCTACAATTGAGAGAGCACGTAAACACAAAAAGATTTACACGACTGAGGAATGGGGTGTACTTCTTGAGATGTCTAGGAAAAAACCCAAACCTTACAATGTTAAAATTCGAAAATATACTGTAATGACATTTATGATCTAACAAGCCTAGGCAAACTTGCCATCCAAAATAGGACAATCAATATCAAAAGAAAAACAGTTAATTGGTTGAAATTGAAATGGCTGAAGTTTGACAATTAATTGATTAAAATAAATTAAATTGATTGTAAATTAATCAGTAAATTAATTGATTACTGATTGATTGGTTATAAAATATAAATTCAAAATTATTTTTTAACTTTCATGCTAAAATAAATGTCATAATTATTCTGCAATGAATTGTGTAAAACTGGCAAACCAGCCCTTTAATCTCTGTTATAGATTTAATATTACGTTTTTTTTCTACTGTTTTAGTCACATGTTTTATTTTTACTAACAGGGTACTTGCTATTAATGATTAGTAATTGAAAGTGTCATATGGTAAAATAGAAGTCTTGTTTACGTTCAAAAAAGAACAGGAGTTATCCTAACTATTAATTTTAAACAATCTCTTTTTAGACACTTTGTGTTATGCACAGATGTTTTATGTCCGTGGTTCCAGGTTTTGCTTAGTGCACAAGAGTTACATGTCCGACTTCTTCCAAAATATAATTTAATTTCTCTCAAAGTAGACTAAATAACGGTAAACAACTACTTAAAACATAAAATATATTAAATAAATAGGCATTCATATTTTACCCTAGTATATTAAGTATAATTAAGGATTTTAAAATAATGTTAGAAACAAAACTTCTTTTTGCGTTTCTCGAAAGTTTGGTAAAATGGACATATCATACGTGTGTTTCTAACCATCGAAATCATGCATAAAGGGGTAAAAAATAAAAATGGTTGAATGATTAACAGTACTTTAAACGTTTTTTTAGCTGATCGGTGTAATCAATTACCTAGTATAGAGTGTGTTTTAAACTACATATGTACGATGGGATGGACGTATTGCTTAAGGATCCAGAATAGAAATAGCGTGGAGGAAGTCAAGGCAGTCTGTGGAAACTGCAGACCATTTCTTTTATGAGTACACAGCTCTGAATGAGGTAAGGGAAAGCACTTTGTGAATCATGCTTGTAAGCAGACACATACCTCAGAAAGACAGGATTCTGCAGTTCATCAAGCACCTAGAGGTTGAGAAGCACTAAGGGGCAAAATGTTATGCCCAAAGAGTCAACATGTGTCTAATGTACTATAAGGTTTTATTCTAACACAATCAATCAATACTCATCTCAATATCCATCCAAAAATAAAATCTTGAGTCAGACTATAAGGAGTCTACTATACAAGTAAGAAATACAAATAACAATACTGAATCATTCAAAAAGTAATCCAAAACAGTGTATTCTGCATTTGTCTTGATCAACACAATGTTCTCCTATAACAAATGCAGTTAAAGCGAGAAGAATCCTAATTTTTCTGGACAGTTTTGATGAACAGTCACAACTGCTCCAGTTTGAGCAAAAAGAGACTTGCAAAACGCCATCCACCGCTTTGTAGTAGGTAGCCATTTAAAAAACAAGCCTGTTACAGTCAATCAAGTAGCCAAGAAAAAAACATTTATATCATAACAAACATGTTCTTCTGATTGCTGTCATCAAGACAAACAAAGAATCCACCAATTCAAATTTTGCCTCATTTCTTAAAATCACCCTTTAGCATATATAAAAGTATATCCAGGCCTATTTTCAATGAGTATTAACTTGCACAATACCTTAAAGTAGATGTTGGTGAACTTGGAGAAAGCGTGCTGGTCGATGTCTCCAGGTAGAGTAGACGGTTGCGGGCGTTCGACAACCGGACCGACCACCTTGACCAGCTGTCGCTCACTGTGGGGCGGCTGCCAGTCTGACAAACATCGGAAATTAGTAACATGGTGGTACGATGTTTTCAATCAGAAAAATGTACTCAATAGTATGTAACCAGCAATATAGGCAATAAGAAATTAGCCTACATAATTTAATAATTATTTAATTATCCTTAGAGAGGTATGCCAATTTTTTATGCAAATACAGTCAAATGTCAGTGATCCGACACTTACTGAACCATGTGAGTGTCAGAATAACCGTAAAGATTTTGGTAATGGAAAATAAAATAAAAATTAACCAAACTTGTGTAAACTCAACTTATAATACCTTATTACGTACTCTTGTGACTATTACAAGTTTAAATAATCAGCTCAGCCAATGTTTAAGAATAAGAATAAGAATAAGAATCCATTTATTGTCATTTGTCAATTTACATTGCTATAGACAACGTCAAAGAAATACATTAAAGTGCAGTATAAAAGGAGATGAGTACAATGTACTTGTCAGGATAACAGATTATAAACTGTTTATGAAGTACAAAACACTAAACAAAAATTTGCCAATGACATTTAGTGCTAGTGCAGCTTCAGGTACGGAAGGAGTCTGAAAATGACCGACCAAAAGTTGGGGAGGAGGAAGGCAATAACCTTGACTGGGTTATGTACCGCACAGTATTAGGTCTTATTCCAAACCCAGGAGGCGCTACGGTGCTCATTTTTCAGTACATTAATATTAGATTAAATTTGATTCATCGTAAATTATATTGTAGATTACCGGTACCGATGATATTTCTACATTGACTATATATGTTAATTCTAAGGATCAAGAGACAAATTTGGATCAAAGAAGTTTTTTTTTAAATTAAGACAATTTGGACTAAGCACGGCACGTGCGACGTGTGTATAACTAAATGTATATATAATGTTCAGCATTTACCATCTAGTTTGTTGAAGATAAACGCCAGCTCCGCAGGGATGTCTAGGTGGTTGACGCCAGCAACTGCGCGAGATGCTCGCTCCTGCTCCTCCTTCTGGGCTTTCACCTTCGCTCGCTCACGCGCCATTTCGGCTCTCTTCTTCAACTCCTCCTTTAAGTTAACGTAGGTTTTATGAGACAATGAAGTTTCAAAGTATGGAAGTGCAAGTACTGTATTGCTATTTATAATTGAAATCTCTATAACTCAAAGAACCTGTAGCATATGTGGGATAGTTTTTCTTCGACATTGTGTTTAAATCATTGTATTCAATAATTAAGCAGTAACTTTGAGTGGAAAGAGAAAATTAAGAATTTGAATCCGGTTTAAGCATATGTCAGGGATTTTATTGATGTCAAAAAGGACATTTACAAAGAAAATGCAAGGGTCAATACGAAAAGGAGGTAGTAGACAGTCTTTTAAGACCCAAGCATTTTTTCTTAAGTTTGAAACTGTTTTTGAGAAAATAAAATAATATAAAAAGTAACAAATTTAAAAAGTTGTATTGTGTACACTGTACAGGCTGTGTGATTGTATTTGGTGGGTACATATAAGTTTTCTAATAACACGCTAAAACAAAACACTTTACACATTTAAATTGATAGGGGGAAAAACTAGTAATTTACACATTTAAATTGATAGGGGGAAAAAACTAGTAATTTACACATTTAAATTGATAGGGGGAAAAAACTAGTAATTTACACATTTAAATTGATAGGGGGAAAAAACTATTAATTTACACATTTAAATTGATAGGGGGAAAAACTAGTAATTTACACATTTAAATTGATAGGGGGAAAAAAACTAGTAATCCACTAAACATTTACACATTACAGTTTGACATTTACACTATAAGCATTACAACCTTTTTTTACATCACTTCTAGCAAGTAAAGAACCGATTGACGACTAGTATCACACTAACCCATGTTAATATGTGATGCTTTGTTTAGTAAGGTCACATCACAGCCTTCGCTGACAAAGACTTGCAGTTCACAACTTTCTCTTTATTTTACATTTGAGCGCATTAGTCATGAAGTGTACCAGTGTAATTTATGAGCTTAAATTATAATCAAATACCATGTGAAAAAGTCCTAAACTTAGACTAAACATCGGCATGTTAATAATGTTATGTTGAGTAACCTTTATGTTTATCTACAAGCCACAGAACTATATTGTTTTTTTCTAAGCTAGCTGAACTTTATCTAAAAAAAAACCACAATCAAAATCAGCCACACTACTTTTTCTTGAATTAAAATATCACATACAATTAATTTAATAATGAATTGATGTCAGGATTCCGGATGTCTCAAAATTTGGATCTATAAAATACAAATTGTTAAATTTTGATAATATGTTCTCAAAGCAAATGGATTGAAAGGCAAATATAATCGTCAAAGCTTTTCAGTTTGTCCTGTAAAAATTATTGCTTTAATGTAGTATATTATCCAGACAGAACTACAATGTTTCACAAAACAATGCAACTAAATCCCTCTTTCGATAAAAACTAACACAACAAAATGTGTTTTCAACTGTTTTTAAAAAGCTGTTTGAAAAGCTCAATTGAGTGGCTTGAAAAAAAATCTCTGTAGGGAATTATTTTCCCCACATTTGTTATTGGCAGCCCTGCTTACCTTCAGCTGTGTGTAGCGTCGTCGCTGCTGCTTTCCTCGGAAGTGAGCTTGAGCTTTCACGACCCCGCGACGAATCTTGAGGAACTTCTTCCTCTCTTTCCATCCCCTGAAAGCAGAAGTAAATAATTAATTTCTATAATGTGTTCTCTACCCCCTTGGGACACTGAATGATTTTGCTGGATAAACCAAACCAACTATGGAAAAGACATGTCTGGTCTTGGGCTCCGGCAGGACCCTGACTCCTAAACACCCCATACCATTACATCCCAACACTTGATCCCAAGATCAAATACAGTAAGTAACCTAATTGGCAATAGACATAATATGTCTATTTAAAGCTCAAAGCCTCAAACTGAATGGTTGTGATCAAGTTTAGTAGAAGAGTTGATTAAAATGGTAGCCTATTTTCTTTTTTTGTGTTTTTCAAAGTTTTTTTTTATCCACTACTTTAAGTATTTGTTGTTTTTGGTCTGTGTTGAGTATTGGCTAGATGATCAATGTTTGGCTTTTTCAAAGAGTTTGCCAATGTTTGGTTTGTGTATTTGTTTACTAATCTTGTATTAATCTAGGTTCCTTCTTATTTGAAGACGGGAACAGATCCTACATTATCAATTTTGTGAGAATTTTTTTTACCAAACAAGAAAAAAAGTTGTCAATAATCCTAACATAAATTTACCATCACCAAAAATGAACTTTAAACTAGGAATCATCACCTCATAGCTGCCTGTAGCTTGACAGCGCTGCGCCGCGCCGCCTGGTAGTGCTTGCGCGCCAGGAAGCCCCTGACGTTGCGCTGCACTATGGCGGCCGCACGGTGGAGTATACTGGCACGCTCATGCTCCAGTACTCGCTCCAGACTCTCTCGTAGAAACACCTTGGTCGAGCCCAGCTGATATTGGCCGGAGTGGTCTTGGAGAATGAGGCTACATATCTCCCTATAGACAGAGACGAGGTATTCAGAAAATACATAAATGCTTGGACAGGTTCATGATGTAACATGGGGTACAAGAAACATGGGTTTTAAGCATTGTCAGTAGGAGGATACAATTTCTCGAATAAACTACCCCCCTTGAGTATGAAGAGTAATGGACATTGTATTTTCATGTTACTGGTTTTTACCAATTTTCAAAATGAAAATAAACATAGTTAAGCTATCCACTTTCAAAGTGTACTGCTGATGATTGAATATCTCCGCTGACAAATGTTGCAAAAGACATATTATGTAAAATTGAGATATTTAAAGAACAACGATGCAAATTACATTCCCTACTGCTGCAAGGGATGTTTCTTATTGTAAATCTAAATACATAGTTTGGCAGCACTTGCATGCAATTGAATGTGCAGTAAACTGGTTTTGTTTGCATTGGCACAGCCAGAAAATTTTTCTTTTCTAAAAATATTCACTTTTGTCATTTGCAATGTTGTTTGGTACTGAATTATTTATAAGTGTATTTTTTATATTTTTCAAACTCACTGTGTGAGCAAAAACATGGTTATACGGCTTATAACTTAATTGAAAAAAGTTGTTAAAATATAATTGGTTTAAGATAAAACTTACCTAGAGGGCGTGCCCCTTGGAGGGAGGTTTCTGCGAGGCAGGAGGTACCGATATCTGTCTGCAAACTCTGGGAATCTGATACGGACTGGGTATCCGAGTTTACGGATCCGTATTGTCTCAAGCATCCCTGAATACCTGAGCAGAACAAATTCTCTTAAACTAGTGAAAAATATATTTCTCTTTAATTCATTTTTAAATAAATTTACCATATTTAATTTTTTTTCAAACAACTACTATCTTGTAAGGTTTTTGAAGGCCAGCTTATTGAATCCTAGATGATTATATTACAAAATCAAACAAAAAAAGATTTTTAGACAGTGACAAGTTTCTAATTTGATTGAATCAGTAAATTAATAATGATCAATGATCATTGGGTTTTGTAGACTTCCCATCTATATGGACCAGCTGTAGCCAATTTTTTATTAAAAAACGTTTTAAAAAGAATGTAGTTGTGTGAGCCAGTCATAGAATGCGCTAGTGTCTAAAATTCAATTGTATACCTTATTTTTTGTTGCTGACTAGGTAGATGGGTCATAACAGTTGCTATAACTCATCATAAGTCATTCCCTAAGTTTGACTTAGTTAAAAAGATTGTGTATTCAACAGAATTTAGTAATTTACCAATCTGTAGGTGGCTCACATAAACTACGACGATTTTGATAAAAAAAGCTGGCTACAAATTTAACATGGGGATGGAATGTCTAGGTTTTACGTATCATAATTAAAGATATAGGTTAGTCTTTAGTCAGATATATTTTGAAAAGATTTCTTTTGAAAAAATTAAAATAAAAATAGAAGGAAAGAGGAAAACGATACCTTACTACTGTTGGTTGACTTTATCAAAGATTTGAAAAAGCACAGCCAATAAACAATTTAATAACGATTTATGCTAACAATAATAATGAACCGTTATAACAAATTTACACATTATATAGCATTATCTTTCAAGAATTTACTTTTTATCAAAGCAATGTGTGTGTTTTTTGTTTACAAACAATAATTTTATTCAAACAAAATATTTTTATAATTAGTTCAATAAAAACAGTAAAAAATATTACCTGAGTTGTTCCAAGACTGTTGGCATGTCAAATTTCATTGCAGCTTTGTCGTTGTTGGGTTTAATGCAACGGACAAACCATGGATTGCACCTGAAAAAAGTATTTTAATAGTAGAAATATAGTAGTTTACGCATTGCGTAAAGATAGTGTTTAACGACACAAGTAAAATATTTAAGGTACGAGCCTTGACAAGTGCCTTAAAAACTTCTGCGAGTGTCGTTAACACTATTTACCCAAGTTGACTACACTACTTTACCTACGATAGTGTTTTAATTACTAAAAATAACTACTCATAACTTCTAAGAAAGGTTATGTTTTCGTTTATAGCCTCTCATTGCCACTGACAGTGATACAACAAAACATTGTACCAAACACTACTTGCACCACTCAACAATTAAATTGGTCTGAACTGAACAGCTGATTAGTGGAAGTTCAAATCATTACAATTTTACATCTTCTCTCTCAATCCTTGAACCTCACTGGCCTGTACCCGTGTTGTTATGAGTAAAAGTATGCTGTTATGACAGTAAACAATAATGTTATGTGAAACTTTCCAATTCTAAGAACTCAACTGAAACGGCTACTTTAAAAAACGGTCGTGTAGGTAAAATTCATTATAGTTTATTACAGCATTTTTTAGCATCCCGAACATCATTTTAATACCACACTACTTAACACCTACATTTTATAGAATTTTGAACACAATTTTAACGAATCTAGTATAATGGTCTAATGATTCTTAATGAAAATTCTGTGATACACGATCAGAGAAAGAGTTAATTCATTTCCAGTAAGTAGGGCACACCCACTAACCTCCCTCTACCTTCCAGCCTTAGGTTGTCATACAGACCTGATAGTTCTATTAAATGGAGCCTTGTATAATGATGCCAAATAGACAGCTAATTTTTTTCCCACCAATATTTTCATATTATTGATCTTTAAGTTTCTTTCCTTTAAACTATAGTTTAAACTATTGGACCAAAGGTTGTAAACATATAAGTACTTTGACATGTTTTCCAGAAGTTGCTGAAGAGAGTCATGAAACCTTGCAGCGACCGTGGGAGTTCTCGGCTTCATGGTGACAAACCTTCCGTTGCTCTTGTTGAGGGTCTTATTGGCTTCATGGGAACTCCTCACTGCCGTGAACATTTTGCTCACCATCTGTGAAAATAGCAGTTGTAATCTCACGGTAATCAGAAATAATATGTCTCATAAAATTTTTTTTATTTTATGAGAAAAGCAATAGGCTTAGGAATAAGGAACTGATACATAAGCTGAGAGGGGGTTTCTTTATAAGGAAACTGCACAAAGTAGCTACTGGCTACTCTACGACTAAAGTACCGTAGCATGCTAATTTCAAGTAAGCCTAATGACATTAGAATACGGTATTTAAAAAATATCAAAAATGAGACAAATAAAATATTTATTTGTAAAAACAAAACAACAGAAGCTAAGCCAAGCTAACTAAATAAATTTGCTTATTTTTCAGTTAGCTGGTTCTAAACTATGATTAAATTAAAATTTATCTAAGATTGTTGTTAGACTATCTCAAACTCTCCATAATCCTCACCCTTTCTAAATTTAGATTAATTAACAAGAAATAATAATAATTTATCCCTATGGTTTAACAGTCCCAACAAAACACAATTCTTTTATTTTCCACTAATGAACTAAAATCAACAGCAAGATGTGCCAGGCCTTCAAGTATTCCTGTTTTTATCCCTAACGCTTAAAAATCAAAACTAACAAGACGGGTAAAATCATTACATGTTTTGTGGTCAAATCAAACTCAAATTGGTAACTCACAGGCAAAGAACTGGAAATCAACAACTCGACGACGTCAGGCCTTAAAGTATCCCGATTTTTGTCCAAGAAACCGTCCACATTGTACCAAACTGGGCCTGCGTAGTGACGGATACCGAACTCCGGTCCATTCAGCCTCGGGCGAGAGTACAGCTCGTTGAGAGCGTGGTTGTAGTGGCACTTCTCTAGGAACGAGAGGTCTGTCGCGCGGGGGAAGTTGCTCTCGTCATCCAGAAGATGAAGGATCCCCACGGGCTTCTTAGATAACAAGTGAATCACTGGTAGGTTGTCCTGAAAATGAAAGATAAAACATTGGCTTGTGTTGGATAAAAAAACAGCTTTTTTAGGCATCGTAGATAAAATATGTTTTGCAACAAAAATGTTTGAGCTTTTTTACAAATTCTTTGATATTTTAAAAACTAACATTTATTGTTAAAACCAAATTCTATTTTAGTTTCTTATGTTGGTTTGGATTTATAACTTTTTTTGTGAGTGTGTGTGTTTACCTACTCCAATGGAATTTTATTTGTATGGAAACGGCTTAAACTGTGCTCTTACCACTGTGTATCATTGATCTTTCGTTAGATAGCATCATTCATTTTTTTGATAACTCAAGGAGAAATGGCATATTTGTCCTGAACCTTCTGCTCGGAATAAAATTTTCAAATATGAAAGCAAATACTCTAAGGAACTGAAGTTGTGTTTAAACTAAGTGATTGCTACAAATTTTACATTTTTTAAAGAATAGTTTTGTTTTGTTACTTTTGTTTTCTCCATTCTTACAAAAATCTGCTTCTCTATTTTCACATTTCTTACTCTTATTACTTACTGATTTCTAAGTTTGCTTAAGTGCATGTACTCACAGCATAGGCAATATTCTGCCATACTATCTTCTCCTTGGCGTACTCCTGTTGTTCCAACTTGAAGATGTGTTTGTTAAAATAGAACTGAAGGTTTTCATTGGCATAGTTGATGCACAGCTGCTCAAAACTGTTCTCCTAAAAATATAGTAGATTATTTAGCTAGATTATTAATAGATTTTATTTAGATGATTCATAGATAATTTAAAGATTTTCTACAGATTGTATTTAAAAAATTCTTAGTTATATAAAAAAATCGTGCCATTTTAGTTCATGAGTTTTTATGTTTCTTTTAATTTAAATTAGTTTAATTTAAATTAGTTTGATTTAATTTAGTTTAATTTAATCTAAACTAGTTTAATTTAATTATTTAATTTAGTTCAATTTTATTTTAATCTAAATTAACCAAAGTTGTAGAATCGTAATCGGTATCGGAATCAACCAATTCAGGAATTGGCCCATCTCTACTGAAGACTATTCATCAATGTATGCTTCTCTTTGGTAAAATTGGAGTGGTTTGGTGTCTCCTCTCTTATTGTAGGTTATTTTACTAACATTAAAATTATAATAAGTTAAACTGAACAATATATTTGTAAAACTATTGGTTGTCCTGTGGAGTTATGTTAAAATATAGCCGATGTAAAATGTTACATATACTGTAAAATAAACTCTAAAATAATAATAGGAATATTAAGGTTGGTGTCAGCACACTTATGATCAGACATGAAACACGAACAAAAAACAGCTTAAATCTACTTTGCTTTTTAACACTCTAATGATGATCATAATAGTCAAAATATATCAATAAATGTGAAAAACAAGAAGACCATACCTTAAAATCTTCAAACCCGAAAATATCCAGGATTGAGATGGCAGCAGTTCGCTTTGTGCCTTTGAACACAATATGGTTGATTCTAGCAACAAGCCAAGCAAATAGCGAACTGTACAGAGCCTTAGCGAACGCATCTCTAGCATCCAAAGCTTGATCGATAGTCAGAGCCGTAAACAATCGTTCGTTGCGGGCTTCCTGCAAACATAACAAACATCTCGTTATTTTACTAAATTAAGATTTGTAATTAGACCAAACTGTAGTAATGACATTAGTTTACTGGAGAAGATAAGATAGGATAAATTTAGTTTCCTAACGAGGTAGCTTCCTACAGTATGACTATAATGTTCTTTACTTGTTGTAATACAAGTAAACCTGTAGATCAAAAACTTAAACTAGCAAGATAGATTAATATAAAATAAATTATAGTTCATGTAAAAAAAATTTCAACCAAAAAATAAACATAAACATTCTACTGTATTGTCATTCTGCATTGTAGATCTTAGTGTTCTACCCAGTCAATTCAAGATGGCGGCTAAATATGCTAATGTTTCTAAACATGCCTCTACGGTACAAGCTATAAACACTCCAAAACTAATCTGTTTCCAATGATTGTGTGCTTTTTCATGGATGAGCTTGGATGGATGAGATGGATGGATGATGGGTGACTAGAAATAGATGGGTATAAATGATTATTTAACGATGATTATTTATTTAATGATTATTTAGAAGCTAAAATCCCATGTGAAAAACACTAATTTACAGATTTGCAAAATGATTTTGTAAATACTTAAGGAAACAATTATGAAGTTTTAGTTCATCCAGGGCATAGTTTGGATCTTTGTGAATATTTTACAGTTTATTTCAACTCGATAAACACTTTAATAATGCCACGAGGTTCTTTTTTGTAGGACCATGTTTACGTGGTAACCAGCCGACAGGTGGTACCCTCATAGGACCAAAACGACTAATACCTCTAAAGCTCTTTTACACAAGAGTGATTTTACAGGCTAAAATCCAGATATTTTACACGCAACTCGTTAACTAGTCTCAGTAAATACTAGCCATACTCGCTCTTATAGCTGTTATTAAGAGAAGGTCTTGTAAAATTTGCCTCTACCGGTGTCTTTAAATGCCACTCACCAGATTTTGACTGAGGTAAATCGTCAAACCATTCAAGTGTATTTAAGCAACATATAGAATTAATCTTGATGACGTCGAAGGAGTTGGTTAATAGCAGTAGTTAAGTTAAATGTTGTTCTAGTCAAAAAGCCAGTGTTTTTACTCGCTCGCTAGCAGCATGTCAACTTGCCCTGTGTAATCGAGCCTTTAATGTACCAGTACACTATTCTCACCGTAGTTTTGGTAGTCAACGCCTGCTTGATACCGTCGACGTTCAGCTGCAACAGATGTCCAGTCCATCGAATCTCTGCGTCCGAACCGATCTCCACTCCTTCTTGACCGTGCTTCAGCTGTTTGCGGTGGAAATACACGTTGCCCAGGTGTAGTACTATGACAAAATGATGTTTAAATTACTATGATGCAATACTAATGGAAGATAATTACTGTAACACTCAATAACCACTATATCTCATAAGAAAATAGCTGAGTGGTTACATCGCTTGCCTTTGAATATGAAGGTCACCAGTTCAATTCCAAGCGAGATTGTTTTCAGACCTAGATGCTTTATCAGCATTTGTCATTGAGATGCCAAATAATGCTATAGATAGTAACAACACCAGGGGTTTGGACCATTTCCTAATAAAAAACTTTTAAAAAACCAAAGGCATAGTAACACCCAAAATATAAAATACACCTATAAAAGAAAAGATAAATATATCAAAAGATCTGAGAATGGGAATTTTTTATTTTCTGGTTCACAGATACTCACTACAGATCTTTTTGGCCAAAAATACCATGTTAAAATTCTTTTCAGTGCATAGAAGTTCACTACAATTATTTTTGGACTTAAAAATAATATACTGTTTTTTGTGTGTTTTTTTACTTCTCAAAGCTTGTTTATGTTCTTTTTTATCTCCAGAAGCTCACTACAATCATACCTGAAGCCAGAATGCGGAAGATGGTGTCTTGCTCATCAGATGTGAAACCGAGTACTTGCATTGCTGAGAGAAGAGATTGGAAATCTTCTGCGTCATATTTCCCATCAATTTCACAGCTCCCTCCCTAGAATGCATCTCAAACTAAACACTGCTTGGCAAGAGCGTTACTGTGACAAATGTGTTAACAACTTATTATGAATATCTAGTTAGAAAAAAAGCATTTGATGTTATTGACTAAAAATATTTACGTTGTTGTTTGTTATTTTACTAAACTGAATTTTGGCTTAAACAATATTGGGCTTGTAATAAAACTGATAAAGTAAAACTATTTTTTTATCTTGAGGATTGATATAACAGGGTTGTCAGCAGGATCTATAAACGAAATTCACGCATTTTTCCCGGTTTTCCCGGCTAAAAAGTACGGAATTCCCGGCGTCTATTATACTTATAAGAACGGCACAACACAAGTTACACTTATCAGTAAATTAAAAAAAAGCAAGCCAAATTGCCCAAGGGACTACGTAAGCCCCGACCGATGAAACGGTGAACACTTTGTGACACATAATTAATTAGTGACGCACTGATGGTCGGGCAGGAAGGGGGTAGCGCGGTGGGTCATTATGGGTGCCATTTTGATAACATCCACTCATAATACTATATTTGGCTAATAGTTTGTTCAGAATTATCAGAGGTTTTTTTACATTGCCCAAACACGATATTAAAATACACATATAAATATGTAACAAACACATTAAACATGGCTACTTCTGCTCTATTTTGACATCCAGTGTTTAACGCCTACGTGGGTCTTCGGGCGCCACGGTGCGGCGGGGTTGTAAATTTTAAATCGGCGATTCTGAAGCAGTCATTCATGTTTACTCGACGTTTCACAGGTCGACTTTGGCTAGTGTTAGTGTATGTAGACTTCACATCTTGTAAAATCTGAAAATCTGCTTATAATAATTGTGTGTGTCATGATTGTGTTGTATTTTACATAGTTCTTTAAAGTAACGGTTCATAAGTGCATCCAAAATATATCTCCGTGGGTTAGGTGTAAGAAAGGGTCATGAGGTCCTAGCTTTATCAGTTGAAAAAATTATTTTAATCACATTTCCCTACAAACTCATGTTAGATGGCAACATAATAGAAATTCCGTTCGAAAATGGCATCTAAGTCAAGAATTGATTGCCCTGGCAATCTGGGATCGACCCAGCGGCCTTCTGATTTGAAGGTGTTTGCTATAACCACTTGGCTACATACAGTAGAGAATGTTGGTAACATTTGACTTGAGTGTGTTTGCATAGTGATTACACTTTTGAAATAACAAGAAACTAATAGTAAACAACGAAACGTCCTCTTAATATACCGGGTGGAACTAACGTTTTAAATAATCCGATCGGTAAGGATGATAAGTTTTGACAGCGTGTAACGACAATCTGTTGTAGGTGTGGAGCTATAGGAATTAAATATATACATATATACATATCTACGAGATTCGCGCTTTGCAACAAGGCGAAGAAGAGAACAGAGAACGACATCAATGCCACACATGAATACCTGATGATTCATGAATTGTTCAATACAAATACACCGAATGTAATTTTCCGCGCTTTTATTGAGAAACAAAACATTTGAGACAAAAGATATTATAGATTTGTTTTAAATCTTAAAATATGCATTGTACAAAGGGGCCAATGCGCAAATTGCGCGTTATAATTGGTTCAAAATTCGACTGCTGTAGAGGTGTACATTTAAAATTCATTTTCATCAACTGTTCGGACTCCTGTTTGTTAACTGACTATGGTTAAAAAATCGACAGAAGGTAATCAGCTGTTAAATTACTATTCACGTTTAAAACCGTTGTAAAGACAGTTGTTCAGAAACACTGACTTTTAAAAGTCCCTTCTAGAAATAAAAAGGCTAGGGGAACGAAGCACTAAGTAAATTTTAATTCCAATTATTATTCGTCCCTCCGATAAATGATAAACTTGAAAATTACTTCTCAATCCACAGAATTATTCTGTGCTCAACCACTTCAATCACTTTTCTGACCGCGAACAAATATGTTAAATGTGACGGCCAAAAAAGTGATGTTACAGATAAAACCCATTATATATAAATTCAAATTTATTTTAAAAATTGAAATCTTACTACACATTGTAGTCTGCTGTAGAACAAAGAATAATATTACATTAAATTTTGCAAGTTTGATTAAACCTAATTATGATAGTTGTTATATAGGTGGTTTCTTATAATATTAATAGAAAATTTTATGGCTGTTAAAGATATTAAATATAGCACTTGATATTCCAACTTGAATTTCTTCCAAAATTTCTCAACTTGTTGAGGAATTGTTCCTCTTGATCCAATGAGTAGTCCATATACTTCGAATTTTGATATTTTATATTTCTCTGAATAATATGGGATAGTTTTCTTGTAAATATTTACTTTTTCTTCATGGACTTCCTGTGGCTGATTTTCATTTGTCTCAAGACGAACTGTTGGGTCTATAATGAGACCGAAATCTTTCTCCTTGTCTATAACAATGATGTCACTCCGCCTCACAGAGCCCTCTTCTTCTATAGCCGTGACCTCTTCATAGACCTCGTAACTTTTCTTTCTGAATTGATCTTTATTAAATATATAAAGTATATATTATTTTTACATAAGTATTAAAGATTTATAGAATATGTATAAAAGTGAGCCATAACTATAGTTTAGTATGGAGTTGTATTTTAATTAAGTTAATATAACATTTATTCCAAAGCGTTGTACAAAAAACCTCAATATTAACATAACTTTTATTAAATAATTTAAGATAATTGAAAACATGATTAATAAGGATGACAATGAGAAAGCTCGTTTGAGATTGTACAAATCATATGCATACACATCAAATACAAGTGGGCCAAGATATACATACATATTATATTGAACACATGGATAAACTTGTGAATTATTGACCAGTCAGGCAGTCCATGTTCTACAGATCTGGTGAACAGCTTGCATCAGCATGTGTGAATGTTCACAAGAGGTATGATTATTGTCCAAGGTAACCATTGATTATTTATAATAAAAATTGCATTGAAACTGTCTGTAAATTTCGCTAATCTTAATCACTATGCCTTTTTTTAAAGAATGGACATTTTGAGATGAATTTTTTTCTTCAGTTAATTATTTTAAAATATTTCAATAACTGTTATGAACATATGAAGCAGTTGTTACCATAGCAACTAAAATGTTAATCATCAAATGCTGTTTACTTTTCTATTCTGATCTTTAATATAACACAGTTACTTCTATTTCAACACTCTGTCTTTTTATATTCTAATATTTCCACTCGAAAGTCATCTCAGTTTGATCTTTAATATAACACAGTTACTTCTATTTCAACACTCTGTCTTTTTATATTCTAATATTTCCACTCGAAAGTCATCTCAGTTGGCGACGATTTGGTAAAAAACTATTATCAATTCTTGTTTTATTCTATTATTTTAAAGATATTTTATTTTGTTAAACATTTCAACTTAAAATGAATGAAGAACAATTTGAAAGACTCATGAATGTTTTGGCTGCAGCTCTAGGTAATAAAACTTCAACTCCTCAGATCAATCCTTTTGAACATTTTGATCCAAATAATGATAAATTCAAATCATATTTGGAACGTTTTGAAAATTATTGCAATTTGAAGAACATTAAAGAAGACAAGATGAAAGCTTAACTCCTGTGCTCATCCATTGGTAAGGAACATTACAATAATCTGACAACTCTTTTGGGCCCAGACAATCCTGTAAAAGACCTTAATTTTTCAAAATTAATCGAACATTTCACAGTGATGTTGTCACCTACAGTATCTCATATTGTTGCACAACACTATTTCCTCAGTGTTTCACAACAGTTGCATCAATCCATCTCTGATTTTGTCACAGTCCTGAAAGGTAACCTGAATGATTGTAATTTTTACACTTCTTGCAATCAATGTGAAAGTAAAATTTCAATTGCTGACAAATTTCTCCGCCCTCAATTTGTTAGAGGACTAAAAGACAATTGGATACGTGAACAACTTCTACAAGACACTAATCTCAACAGTTTTGACACACTCCTAAAAAAAGCAATTGCCCTAGAAGCTTCCCGCTATGAATCAAATAAAATTTCTAATCCTGTCACACAACCATCAAGTGAAAATGCAGATACACACAAAATTGATAGGCATTCAAGGTCTAAAACAAAGGAATATCAAAGTTTCAAGCAATTTAAGACACACAAATATGATGACCGCGGTTCCAATAGATCTCAATCACAACATTTCCGTAACAAAAGCTTAAAAAGACACGTTGACTACAAAGCTTTGGGTATTGATGGACTTTGTTTCAAATGTGGTCGATCAAACCATCAGTCTAATGAATGCAAAATTAATCGGAACAATCTTAAATGCACTTCCTGTGGAAAACAAGGCCACATATCAAAAGTGTGTATAACGTCTCTACTAAAGAACTCTAAAACAAACACCCTGTTGTCTCACTACACAGAAGATGAATCCAGTCACCCAGATGAGTATGAAATCACACAAATCAACGATGTGGAAGATCTTTACATAGTAGGACCAGACTCAGACAAATACATGGTTACAGTCACTATCAACAACAAGCCTCAAACATTTGAAGTAGACTCTGGTGCACGATTTTCCTTAATCTCAGAAACGGACTTTGATAAACTTGGACTTAAAGTGCCACTTCAACCAACTCCTATCTCATTTCGCTCCTACTCTGATCATATAATAAAACCTAAAGGTAAAGTAACTGTCTCAGTCTCTTACAATACAAAATCACTAAATACTGATTTATTTATAGTACCTGCAGGTCATTCTGCTTTGTTAGGACGAATTTGGATTCGTGGACTTGGAATTGAACTCAGTGAGGTAGACAACAGAAATCAATCACCGATGAATACAGTTGATGTTAATTTAGTTCCGTCTCTAGAGGATATATTCGAAAAATACTCAGAAATTTTCGAAGAAAGAATCGGATGTGTTCCCAATGTTGAAGTCAAACTCCAACTCAGAGATAATGAAAAACCAGTATTTACTAGGGAACGTGATGTCCCTTTCGCTTTACGAGAGAGAGT